ACTAATTGTAACTGTACTAAAGATAAAGCAAATAATTAAAATATGATCTGGAAAATATTTACTTTGTGTTCAGTTGGCATGGTTTCTTTTTCCTACCCTCTACCCAAATTTTTCATGGACCCCTTAGCTCTACCTATTTATATAAATATCATATAAAATGTTTATATATTCTTGAACTATGAATATGATGAACTATCCCTTTAAGAAAAGCACATGTATACAGACCTGGATTGCCCGTCCAAACTCGATCAGCATCATTTCAAAGACCTTAGGCCCATCCAGAAGGAGGGTCCCACCCTGAGTGTAGTGTGTGCAGATCTCATGTCCTATAGGAGGAGGATGTGGGGGGGTGTTCTCTATTATAGAAAAAGAAAGCATAGCAAAAAGGTTTTAGATCCATTTGAAAGTGAGATGATATGATTAAATGACATGGCAAATCACTGAAATCTGAATTGTTTAAAAATGCCTAATGCTGATCATTGTGATAAAGACTAGAAGGTAATAGGGCTGTATGATCTCCAATGAAAAGAAAACTGATTGGACACTCACGTTGAGAATTCACCAGTGCAGCCAGCAGGCACAGGCTCAACACTGCCACCAGATGGCCAAATTGTGCCATTGTTGCAGATATTTTGCAAGAACAAGGCTGAGACTCAGATGAGGAGAGACTGTAAAATAAAAAAAAATGTAGTTTTGTGGTTTTTAGTCCACGTGTGTCAGCTTTGAGATCATTTGGATGCTAGTACGGGGATCCGTTAAAAAGAGTGAGAGAGAGACAGAGAGAACATTTTTTGTAAACATTATTTTATGTTTGTCAAAGTTAATGTATTAACAAGATATTAATTAAAATGTTTGACACATTTTTATTTAGTTGATACTATTTTGTTTAATTCTACTAATCATGACATTTAAAAATAATGTGTTCATCTTTTCTTTCCTTACATATAAGAATCGTTTCAGAACAATAATTGTTGTGAAAAGCATTATTCAAAATATCAAATTCAGCCGAAAAGGTTTTTCATCAGGTTTATACATTTAACAGTTTATAAGTTTATAAAAATATATACATAAACTAACAATAAATGTTCTCCAGATAATATTGTAGATAATTTGCTATCTTCAGCTTTATATTTCTTAATGGGTCTTAAGACAGCTACCATTATATTTGAGTAAATAACATTTTAAGAAATGTTATATGATCGTGAGATGAACGTTATCTGCATTACTTCCTCTTCCTGTTTAAGTCCTGCTATTAGTTAGTCTTTAGTTACAACGTTAAGGTTACCACGGCAATCTACAGTCATACACAGGACCAAACCTGACATATAAGTCCATTTCATATAGCCTAGAAACAATAAGCCTAGATCTAGAGATTACAGGGAAAAAAAACATTGCAAGATAAATCTGTTTTTGGGAACAATAAGCTGGTATTAGACTCTCATTTGGTCATTGAATACTCAGTGGCTCATTCCAGTTATCTTTCCATCAATGTAATACAATCATTTTGCAAAGAATGTGAACGTATAAGTCTTTTTAAATGCTCAGTGAAGTGTATTGAGCTGTCGATCCGGTTGTGCAAGCTTTTGTTAAACGTAAGATACCAACGACAGTGACAAAGCTCATGTGGGTTTTCACATGCTACAACACTTGTCACTTTCTGGTAAATATTGATAAAGTGAAAGATTTAAAAGGATAGTTCACCCCCCAAAAAGGAAATTTCTCTTCATTGCTTCTAACCCATATGAATGTCTTTCTTCAGTGAAACAAAAAAGATGTTTGGCAGTGTGACAGTTTCAGTCACCATTCACTTGCTTATGGAAAAAAGATGCAATGAAAGTGAATGGTGACTGAACGTGTCTTCTTCCTAACATCTTTTGTATTTTACAGAAAATAGAAAGTCTCACAGGTTTGAAACCACGTGAGGGTGAGTAAATGATGACACAATTTTCATTTTAGGGTTGAATGTACTGTATATTTTAAAAGTTTTTCATCTATCATTATGTAAATATTCTTAATTTACTAAAAATTAAGTTCTATTACTAAATTAAGTTCTAAACTAGTCTGGGATGACATTGTAGCCATTTGAATTATTTTTTTAAATAGATGACAAATTATTAGAAAGTGTCACTTCAGCATTAAAATGTAAAATCACAACATATCAATATATAGAGAGAGTTAATCAAAAAGCATACAAAAATCATATTGAAAAATAGAATTACATTAATCAAATAAGCAATAATAGCAATGATCTTTATAGCCTGCAGTGAACACTGGAGCTGACGTCTGAAAACAGAAAATAAGAACAGTGAAAATAGAACGAGAGCAATTGTTTGCAGAGAAAACTAAATGAGTGCAGGTGCTTCTTACCTGTATCAAGTCTGAAGAGAAACTGCCTACTGCTCTGAACAAGGGGAAGATAAAAGCAAGAAATGTGTGATTTACATGTCACCACCCATTTTCACATTTGATACAAAGAAAAGAGCCAGAGTGGGAGGGGAGTAACAAAGGAAAAGTTATGGAGGTGTGATTTACTGGTTTTGTTGATTTGTTCTTCCTCATTCCTGATTGAACATCATGGAACATCATGAAAATAATACAAGTACTCTGTCATTACAACAATATGACGTTGTTGTTTTTTTCCACATTTGATGCCAGTTTTGCAAAAGTAATGTTTACGGAATGCAACATTCGTACATAAATCAGCATATTACAGAAAACTGTATGTTCTCAGACTGACACACAATTTACAGTTTCCCAATCATGACTATAACAACGATACATATGTCAGATCAATATATGGTGTATGAGACTGTGTATTAAAATAGACATTGAAATTAGTAAGTCGGTCTATAAACAGGACATTCAAAAACAGGACTGACACAGCGTTTTTTACCAGAGCAATTGTTTTCCTTTCACTTTATTCACTTGACAATCTATGTGGGACTTTCTGCTCAAATATTCACATCATATGAAAGGAACCTGCTAATAAATTATAAATACCATAGTAATGTGCTTGTGTTGTGCAATAAGTAGTTAGCACTCATTTTTGCTTTACAGTTTGCGACAGCCACATAGATAGATGCATAGATCCTTGTAAGTTTTGTGTGCAATAGGTTGTAACACCAAGGAGCACAATTATGGTGAAGAAAAAAAATTTGTTTGTCCATTTTGACGACGATTTTAGTCATTTCTCAGTCATTTAGTCTTCAAGTACATCAAGAGAGAGAAATGCTTTTCCATTCACATGTACTTCAATTATGACCTCTGAACCTCTAGATGGTTTACTGGGGTCATACTTTCCTATCAAAATGTATATGTGTCTGTTTCATCCCATGATTCTGATGATAAGTCTGATGAATATGACGCACTCATGATGATTCAAATATCTTTCATAATTCTGATCTGAGAGCTTAAAAAATATAATCTGTGCAACATTCCCATGGACAGTGGTGGATGAAGTACCTGAAAGCCACACTTAAGTAAAAGTACAGATATCTTACCAGAAAATGACTTTGGTTGAATTTCAAAGTCACCATCTAAATATTACTTGATTAAAAGTTTTAAAGTATGTGATATTTATTGTACTTAAGTATGAAAAGTATTTTTTAAATATTAAACATAATTATATTGAAAGTACAAGTACAAGTAAATGCAAAATGGAAAAGGAGCAAATAAATATTCAAAAGATGTTTATACACAGTTTGAGCAGCAAGATTGTGTTCAGTTTTAACTCGTTCTTCCATTTTGTATCTTTGGGTAAGCATAAGAGGCACTTCATTTGATACTTAGTCTCTTTCATTCCAACATAAGAAAACATCATGGCACTTTATTCATGATTAACTTTATATTGTACATTACTTGTTTAGTTACCACTGTTGTTTGACAAGATAAAGAAAAACAAACCTGGGTATCCCACCTAAACTCAAGTATGATCATGTTAAAGGCCTCTGACATGTTCCGACGGCTGGATGTGCAAATGTTATCATCACGACTAACCTCATTTGGAAGTTCTGCCAGACATAGAGAGCAAAAGATTGTTTTCAAAAGATAAACAACAGAAATATCCAAAGGCAAAGCACTGAAATTGACATAAAATGCTGTTAATTACTAACAAAATTAGATGAGAGCAATGATTAAATACTCACTTTGTTCAGAGATGATCACAGCAGCCAGCAAGCACAGGCTCAATACGACTAACCGCTGTCCAAATTGTTCCATTATCACAGATCTCTTGATCAGCAGATAATTATAAATGATAATCTGGACGAATGAAAAAACTGTAAGAGAGAAAATGAGATCACAGTTTATGTGGAGAACAGCAGAAAGATGAGTGAATCTTATCTGAATCTAGTCTGGAGAGAAACTGCAATGCACAAAAACAAAAAAGATGTTTTTTGCAGTTAACTTGACCCTGTTTTTGCGTAGAGCAGTGGAATTGCAATGTATGAAGACACTTTTTTGTTGTTGTTGTTATTTTACCTTTATAGTGCAGCCTTTTAGAACACTGCTTCATATGCGAGCGCAACAGTCAAACATGTTAAAAACACATGTAAAAATGTAAAACAATGGAGAAGCAGAACAGTGGAATGCAAAAATATGTTCTGTGAAAACTTTTCCTTATTCGGGGTAAAAATCACTGCAATTGCAGTTAACTTGACCCTGTTTTTGCGTAGAGCAGTGGAATTGCAATGTATGAAGACACTTTTTTTTGTTGTTGTTATTTTACCTTTATAGTGCAGCCTTTTAGAACACTGCTTCATATGTGAGCGCAACAGTCAAACATGTTAAAAACACATGTAAAAATGTAAAACAATGGAGAAGCAGAACAGTGGAATGCAAAAATATGTTCTGTGAAAACTTTTCCTTATTCGGGGTAAAAATCAAGGGGCATGAACATAATACAAGTGAGAAATGTTGATGCTTTATTTCACTTCTGCAATTAGTGTCTTTTACAAACATTTTGCCAATTTTCCAAGGACCAGCATGTTTAATAAATGCTACATAATATCCTCAACATCAATATAAATTCACACAACGAGACCTGAATCTGCAACAATGCGTCCAAACAGCAGAAAACATGGCCAAAACCAGAGCTTTCAGCAACTGTCTTTATTGCAATAACATATCACACACTCACACACACACACAATAAATACAACTGACATTCAGTATACAATTCAAAAATGTCCTTTTAACAACACACACTCCAATGACTGACAGTTGCACGGTCATAAGCAGCATCCATTTCTGAAATTAAACTTCACCCACTAATTTGTTCTCACCATACCCAGTCCGCAAAAAGAAAAAGAAGAAAAAAACATGACCATAACAGTCATGATTATGAAAAAAAGCCTAAAAGAAGTATGAGGTGTGTCAGACTGTTTTGTTTTGGAGATTATTATTTAGGACATTCAAATGGGAAAGTGGGTTGTGTAACATTAGAGCAGGCACCTGTAGAGATCTCACAAAAGCAGGTTCTTTTCATTACACGGTTGTTCTTTTAGTTTCGCTTACTAAAGGCTTCCATCAACCTAAGGCCCAAACAAACCAAACAGACAAGGTCTCTATGCACAGGACGTGTACTGACACCAATACAAAATCTTGGTTGAACCTCAAAGTAGCAAGACAATTCAAGGACATTGGGAACTACTGTGGATTTGAATTGCAACGTGATCACATTTCAAGGCATTGCAGCATTCCTGTAAGGAGCACATACACTGTTAATAAAGAAATCAAGGTGTTTACTATTAGCACACCCATAGTGGGCGGTGCGCATGCTAACAATGCTGGAAAACGAGTTTGAAAATAGCAAGGAATCATTTGCTTTTACAAGAACGTTTAAAATGAATGTGTTATGAGTGAACCTGAATCATACATGATTTGAATTTTTGATTTTGTGGCCATAAAAACACACAATTCCTCGTTATTTAATACTGACCTACATGTTGTTAGCATGCTACATGTTGTTAGCATCCATAACCACTTTTTAATGTCTATCCTTTGAAATTAAATTAATCTTAATATAAAATAACATCAATCATTGCGTCATTAGCTACGAGATAAGCAGGTAAACAAAGTCTATAGAAAACGATAAAAGAAGATTTGCTTAAAGGTGCTGATTTGACTAGTTTCAAAGCGATCAGACGGTTTAGTGACCCGTATCGGTGGCACGTGTTTGGATGGTCACTCTTCTTGGTGGGTTCTGCTCTGTACTGCGATTGGCTATTAGCTCTTGCAGCTGCAGAGCACCTCCACCAATAAAACAGAATGCTGGGCAAACAGGGGCGGAGCAATCAACAGTCCCCTCCCACAGCACTCGCAAAGAGTGTGCGTCGTAAAAAGTGAGCCGCCCCTTCTCAAAGTCCAGACACAGTCCGAGGCGAGGTGGTAAGGGGGCAGTGAGGGGGCCAGTAGAAGTGTTAGACACCCCACATTTGGGTAGTAAGATCTTGCCCATGCCCATTGTGAGGAAACAGAATGGAGGAGGACAGTCCTGGGTGTCCTCTGCGCCACTGTCATGACCACTATCTGGATCGTACCTATGGAGAGAAATAGAAGGAAAAAGATAAATTCATCAATAATATTGCCTACATAAGTCATCGTGACTTAGTCAGCTCTTAAACGCTTCAAAATTTCTCCTCACCGTGGACTTGCCATGTCTTGTGGAAGATGGAACCACTCCTGCAGTTTTGCTTCAACACCCACTCCCACCTACACACAGAGAAAACAACTAGTTTTTAAAATTCACATTTTTAGATTTTCTTTGTATGAATGTGTATCCATTTAAAAAATCAACATATTTTATTACATAAAAATATATGTATATAGGCTACTAAAAATGCATTTCATAAATATAACTTGAATATACTTCTATTAGGGGTTGCACCGACTAATCGACTAGTCGACTTCAATGCTCTGCCATGACGCTTTAAGCTTGAAGTCGACTAGTCGCTGGTCCTATAGAGGGCGCAACGGGATAAGAAATCTTTGAAGGACTTCTACATTTACGCTCAGTTTCCGAACAGTTAAAATGACAAATAAATGCATACTCTGAAAGAGCTCCACAAGACATGTGTGATTATATTACTGGATGCTCGAAATTGAACAGGATAATGCACGTTTTAAACAGCTTATTGTACAGGTAAGTTAATCATCGTTCTAATCTAATGCACTGCTGCACTGTTACGCACACACATAGGCTACAGACAGTAGCTCGTACACAGTGTTGCGTGGACATTTGCTACTTTAACACTGTTGCCATGGGTTGTTTTTCATGTCCGCATGTTGAAGCGCCCCCAATAACGTGATATTCAGCCCCTGGAATTCGAATTCTACAGGAGGAACCCCGCCGAAAAACGTGTATTTTACCCACAGCTCCCGACTTATTTGTTCATTAATGACGTCATCAAAGACTAGTCGACTTCGACTCGACTTTCATCACATAAAAGTCGACTTTTAAAAATCAGAAGTCTTTTAACCCCTAACTTCTATGAACTTAGTTTTAATTTTTTAATAAAATGTATTTTGTTTTTAAAAATTTTTTTTTTTTGTGTGGAATAAAGTAAAAAAAATGTCAGAACGATACAACGAAGAAAAAGCCTAATTCAAAATTAAATTCTTGAAAATAAAACCATATTCAGTCATTTGGCGTACTCTTTCATATTACTTCACAGGGGGGAAATGAAATAATGAAAACATACTGTATATTGTCAATTTTTGCAGAAATCAGTTATACACTACTGCTCAAATGTTTGGGGTGGGGTTGGTAAAAATTTTAACATTTTTTTAAAGAAGTCTCTCTTACTCACCAAGACTGCATTTATTGGATCAAAAATGCCATATAAACAGTAACGATTTGAAATATCTTCTGATCAATTTAATGCATCCTTGCTAAAATAAAAGTACTAATTTCTATGTTGACCTTAACCAGGTAGGAGCCAGGTTCCACTGAGCATGCCCAGTAGTGTTGTCCCTGTGTGATGGAAACATCAGCCACAAGGAGGTCAGAGGTGAGGTGACATGAGGTAAGAGCCCGATCAGCAGCCTGCAACAGAGTCATCCCAGGAACACTCCGGGCGTATGTCTGCCCTTTTCCCAGCGCCACCCGCTCCGCATGTAGGCCCCAGCGCGAATCCAGGCAGAACGACAACACTGAGATTGAGGTATGCAGGAGAAATGGAGTGGAGGAGAGGGTTGGAAAGGCCAGGTCATAGGGAGCAGAACAGAAAATGAAAAGAGGATGAGGAAGTGAACATATAAAAAGGAACAGAGAGGGGGGATATGTATGCATAAGTGTAAAAAGGAAGAAATGGGATTGGAAGAAAAGAGGGGAAACAGAGAGGACAGCAGGAACATTGTATATATTCCAGGACTCTAGGATTCAGAGGAGATCAAGCAGCTGATATATTCCAGTTAAATAGGAATACAAGTCAAAGAAACCGCAGAGATAACAGGAGCAAAGGAAGGTGGAGAACAACAGGAAACATAAGGAGAAATAATACAGAGAGGAGAGCAAAAAGAGACATGTCAGAGAGTTGTGGATATGCATGGAGAACTATACTACCGCAACAGAATTAATTGTATGAGAGAAAATGCGAAAGAGAAAATATGATATGCATGTAATAAAACAACAAGGTTCAGTTTGATAGAATTGTGATATGGATGGGTGAATGAATGGATCAATAAGTCATTGGCTAGATGAATTAAATTATATGGATTGTTAGATGTATTAATCATTCAATAAATAAATTAATATGATACAGATGAATCGATGATAAGTGAACAAACATGAACAAAAAGGCAGATGAATGAATGAATAATTCCGTGTGAATGTATCAATTGATAGGTAAATGGAGGATGGATAAATATCAATAAATGAATGCATGAAATAATAAATGAATGAATCAACGAATCATTCAATGGATGGATAGATAGACAAAAGCAAACAAACAAATAAAAAAATATGCGAATGAATGAATGGAAGAATAAATAAATGGATGGATACATAAATGGAGAAAATAAAAATAGAGGATGCAAATTGTAAGTCGAAGAAGTAGAATGAGTGGAAAATATGCAATTATTTTGCATCTTCAATAATGTGAGAAACTGAGGAGCTGGAGGAAAATAATTTGACTCTGGGTAACTTATATTTTAAAGGGGTTCAGATTCAAGTGCGTATATATTTGCATGTGGATGTGTCTTACCTGGTGCAGGAGGTGTGTGTAGATACACCTCCTCACTGTACTCTCCAAACCCTGCCTTATTACAGCCTCGAACTCTCAGGACATACACACTGTCCATCTCTAGCTTATCAATCACTGCACTGGTCCCGCCCACATCATCGAGACGCTGCCATGAACAGTGTGTGCCATTACTTCCCGAGCTTCCTTCAGACAAGACTCTGCCCCATAATGCTCCAGCTCCGCCCACTTTCCTCAGATATTCCACTGAGTAGTGCCAGGCAGGGGCGGAGTCCTGTGGGAGACGCCAGCACAAATAGAGCTGGTCATAGGCCAAGGTCTTTTGAGTGTCAATCACAGGAGCCAATGGGGCTGCAGAAGGAAAATAAGGGGTTGGATTAAATGTGAATTTAATTCATTATTGTATTTGACATAGAAAAGCAAGTTTTTATGAAAACCTTGTATAAAGTCCATGCTGCTGAGCGCTTTGAGTTCTCTGGAGACATCCATCTGAAAATGTCGGAACGAGGGATCAGCAGATAGAGAGAAATGCTGTTGATTTTCTATTGCTTTTACCAGTCTGAGGAGAAAAAAAGAGATAAAAATCAAGTTACGTGAATATACAAAAGCTTTCTTTATACCAAGTGATCATATGTAACATAATATTCCCACGTTTATTTTGTGTTCCTTTTGAAAATGTTTCTATGGAAACACACAATAGGCTATTGTGGGATTCGTATTTCATAAATGACCAGATTTGCACAATCACAGCAACCCACACCCACAAACATACACTCTAACCTGTTGTGCGTGACTCTGGCAGCCTGCACAAAGCACGACTGGTCAGTTTCCTTAAGCAGCTCTTGAGTGTATGTGAGCAGCCCTGCGTTCTCCAAAAGACTCTGTTTTTTAGAGAGCTGTGCATTCAGAGCCCCTGCCCGCTGCGCACGAGCCCCCTCCAGCAACATGGCTAAGGCCCCCTGACGCTCCGCCAGCACACTGCGCAATTCACTCACACACTGATTCAACTGCTCCTTAGCCACTGCGCTGTTCACCTGAACACAGAGGTACAATGATTAAACAGGATAGAAGAAGGGAATAATGAAGCTTAACTGTAAATTTCTTTAAATATTTTTTTTACTACATATAGGAGACCTCTCATTGTGGCTTTTTAAATGTCATAAATATTTTAATAATTTAATTTAAAATTTTACTTTAATTTATTTAATTTATATTTTAAAAGTAATAGCTGTCAAAATTAACACGTTAACGTATGCAATTAATTTTTTTCAATTTAAAAAAAAAATATTTAATGCACGGGCAGAGCTAGGGGTTGGCCACCCTACTCACAACTGGTGCTTCTGTCTCTTTTTTATTGAAGACAATTGCGTTTATTTAGATGCAGAACCTCTTTACGACCACATCAAATAGGAGACTTTTCAGACGCGCACCCCAACTTTGCGCTTGTCAGACGAGCTCGGTGACGAGGGAGCTTCAGTATACAGTGAACTGCAGTCAGGTTAGATGTTGTCGGGCCACATGTCAGTAAAAACTAATTTTCCTGTCCTGTCAGCCATTATACTGTGCTCGTAGCACGTGCTCTTTAATTGCACGCACAAATGGGGCAGCGCGCTGTAATGTATCATTTCATATTAAAGTGCAAAAGAAACTACGAGCATGCAATGTCGTCAGTTAAGTTATGAAATTACTAAAAAGGCGATTAATGCTGCCTTAAAACTGTGCATGTAAGTATTTGTTATATATGAGTCACATTTAAGAACATGTCTCTGAAATGCAGTGGTTTTCAAAACTGTCCTGGAGCACAGCACTGTCTCCCTCATTTAACACACCCGATTCAACTCGTTAGTAGAGACTTTAACCCTGAAGTGGGTCAGAAAAGGTAAAGAGTTGTGAGAAAATATCATGTTCAGCAGTGGCAACGGCAGCTCTTAAAGCAGCCCAAATAACCTAATATCCCAGCTGCTGTGATGTCTGTTAATCAAAGAACAAAAGAAAAAAGAGGAAATCAATAACTTTTGTAGCATTTAAGGATTCAACTATATTTATTTTAGAATTTAGTGTTTGATAACTTCAATTTCTGTATATTTACTACTTGCAGGAGGGCAGAGGCAAATATGAAATTTATTATAATGGTTTATGTGAAGATTGTTTTAAGGTCACTTAAATTAAAAGTAATTTTTTAAAGTCTAATAAATGTTCAAATTGATAGCTCTCAATTATATTGTAATGTTGAATAGCTATAGCAATTATTAAATATTAGGGGGAAAAAATCATGGAGACATCAGTAGTACTGGTATCAGTGATACTCGCCTTCAGTCATAAAAAGATGCCATTAAACAAATATTTAAAATATACTATATTAATGTTTTTTTCAACATTCATTTGAAGATTGAATGTGAAATTGCAATATAAAAGTATATTTAAACACTTTAATGTTAGTTGGGATTAATCGCGATTCATTTCAGGAAAAAAATTGCGATTAATTCGTTAATTTTTTTTAATATCGATTGACAGCTCTGTTTATAATTCATATTTTTTATGTTAAAATATTTACATGAAATTATATTAAATCTTAAATAAAACTAATTAAAAATTAAATATAAATAATAATAATAATAATTTTTTTACATATTACACACATGTATATGTATATACAGTATATATATATATACACACACACACACACAATTTCATGATTTCCATCCTTCTATTTTGACTGCTAAAAGTTTATAGCACCTGAAAAAAAACACCCACATACCCTGAGATGTCTCACAAACACTGAAAGTATAATTAAAACACCAGTGCTGTGTACCTCAGTCTGAGCGATGCCACTCTCTACTTGGGTGATCTGTGCCTGTACAGAATCCTGATTGGCGAAGACATAGTTCATCTCCTTGGTGATCTTCTCCTGTGATTTCACAACATGGAGAATTGACATGAAACTGCACAGATACACAAAGGTTGAGGATCTAGACCCAGTATTTATTAAATGGGTTATCCACAAACGTAATCCAAAAACAGGCAAAGGTCATAACACGGGCAATGCAAACAATGACAGTTCAGGGCTGAGGCCAACAGAGTAATCCAGATAAACAGGCAGAACATCAATCCTAAGGAGCATTTCCAGACGTTCCTAAACAAGAAAAGACTTCAGTCCAGGAGGGAGGTGGAGCGGAGGCGGAACAGGGGGAGGGATGGAGGGCCATGCCCATGGACAGGAAGAGGAACTGGAGCCGGAAGAGCAGGAGGCCACCAGGGCAGAGCCGGCAGAGCAGGAGGCCACCAGGGCAGAGCCAGCGGAGCTGAAGACCACCAGGGCAGAACAAAAGGAGCGGAAAAACCTCCTTGGCAGTGACAAGGCAGACAAGGGATTCAGGGACAGCCTCTTTGGCCATGACAGGACAGGCAAAGAGCTCAGAGACAGTCTCCTTGGCCATGACAGGGCAGGCAGAGAGTTCAGGGACGGTCCTCTTGGCCGTGACAGGACAGGCAGGGAACTCACATGCTGGCACCAACAAAGGACTGAGCTTTGGAGCTTGAGTGAGCTCTGGAGTGGATTCATGGACTGGAGCGGGCTCTGGAGTGGACTCATGGACTGGAGCGGGCTCTGGAGTAGATTCAAGGACTGGAGCGGACACTGCCGTCTCAGAAGTGTGTATAGCCCAGACACACTAGATGGCGACCATCATGACTGGAAGGGCAGCGGAAAGTGGGAGTACCTCTGAGATCGCTGGGCTTGAGAGCTGTGAGGTCACCGGGATGCCTGCCACTCGCACCGACATCATAGGTGGGTCCGCCACACTGGACATCAGTCTCAGTTGCCAAGGCACTGCCTTACTAGCTTCAAGTGCAATGTTCATGACGGACGGGAACACTGGAGTGGCAGCCATGATGGCTGGAGAGTCTGGCGTGGCGGCCATCTTGTGGAGAGGCTCTGGGCTGGCGGCCATCTTGTGAAGAAGTTCTGGACTGGCGTCCATCTTGTGGACTGGCTCTGGTGCGGCAGCCATGTTGTGAACTGGCTCTGGTGTGGGAACTAATGGTCTAAAACAGTGGTCGCCAACCCGTTGATCGCGATCAACTGGTAGATCTTTATCACTGTCCCAGTAGATCCCAAAAAAAACAGTAAAATAAGTACAAAAATGCATTACATTTCTGGGGTTATATTAATGTATCACTTTATTTAGTCCCTGGAATGTGAATTTTACTTGAAGATCCCCACCGAAAAACGTGTATTTTACCCCGGAATGCGATTTTTACGAGCGGCAACCTCCCGCTCTCTCTTGTGAAGCCAACAAGGAAGTGACTTAAGCTGCAATTCATCGACTGGCCGCTAGAGGCTGGCTGCAAAAGGGAGTCAATCCCATAGTCTTCCCATGTTAAAATGCCTAACTTTACAGCAGAAAAAAACATGTTTACAGCCTGGTTCAAAAAATTATTTTGGTCTATATAGCTAATTTTGCCCTTCATGACAACTGTGAGGGGGGTGAATTTTTTTATAACTCATCCGTTTAAATTATATTAAGCCTTAAAGTTCTGCATAATTATGGGCGTGGCCACTTGAGTGACAGGTGGATTACCGCTGCTAACACTGCCGTCGAGCTAGGTGGGCGTGGTTTCAGCAGCCTCGCCTCTTTGCCCATTTTCGATTATCTGGGAGTGACGCACGGTGACGCGCTGCCAAGATGGCGATGGCTGGCTCCGCCTACTTTAGGCTTCAAAATGCTCGTCGGAAGTCTACGGGTTACGTCACGGACACTACGTGGATTTTTACAGGCGAACCCTCCTCGAAACGCGATTGGACTAGTTTTATTGCGAAAACCTGGCAACCCTGTTCATAGGCGCCACCTGCTGTCAGAGAGTGCGTCTCATTCAGACCTGCTGTTTTTGTTTCGTGCAGATGTTTTATGTAGCAAATAAATAAATAACACCTAAAGTCAGACCATTCTGTTTTTGTTTTAAATCCTGAAATTAATCTAAATCAAATCAAAAACAACTGCCCGTGCAGATCATGATTAAAATGCAGTGGTTGCCTCTAATTTCAAATGGCTAGATATTTTTGTTTAAAGCCAGTTTGTTTTGTTATAAAGCAAATAGCCAATAAATAAATTTGCTTAAAAATCAGTATCAGTATCAGAATCCAATTTGCTAGTTAAAAAAAAGAAAGAAAGAAAGAAAGAAAGAAAGAAAAGAAAATCTGAATTCTAAATCAGCTATGATCGGCACATCCCTAATTAAAATACTAAGTAAAAGGCCTCAAATTTGAAGCACAATCTGGGATGTCTTTTTCTATCAATTCTTCAATAGGTAGATCTTGTCTTTCATAAAGGCCGAGGTCAGGGATCTTGGGCCTAAAAAGGTTGGTGACCACTGGTCTAAAAGGTGCTGGAAGCACTGGACTAGCTACCATTATAACAGAAAATGCAGGTGACCGTGGTGGGCCAAGATCCTTGGCCACCGGAGCTTGGTGTATGGTGCCCACCCACCCAAAATTGTTTAGGGGAAGTACAAAACAAAAGAAATCAATGAGAGCATAGTCTGGGAGGTCAGAGAAATTAGCAATGTTTAGAAAGTCCAGGATGTGGTCCTCGAGGGATCGATTACCTTGATGCAGACATATGATTCTTACTGCTGGATCCAAGTAGGCTAAGTCTTCTGTCATGAAACTGCACAGTTACACAAAGTTTGAGGATCCAGACACAGTATTTATTAAAGGGACAAATGTAATCCAAAAACAAGCAAAGGTCATAACAAGGGCAATGCAAACAATGACAAAGTTCAGGGCTGAGGCCAACAGAGTAATCCAGATAAACAGGCAGAACATCAAGACACAAGAGAACCAGGATAAAAGGCTTACCCCTTATGTACACTGCACACGTCTGTGGTGCGTTACGGTGGTGCCAACTCACACCAGGAGCATTTAAGAAGTGAAGTGCCAGGATTCACAAAACCACGTCATTTGCCTGTCCAACATTGTTTTTCTTGATTTTTTTTGTGTTCTAACATGGTTAAGTTGGCTAAATGTTTATGTTTTGCCTGGTTTAATTCTGTTTACTGTTGTGTTTTTTGCTATGTCCTACTTTGTTATGTTGTAGACTACAAATTTAATATACTTAAAAGTCCAGTTATGAATGACAAGGATAAAAGTTGCTGTATATAGTCGTCTAACATACATCCTCAATTATCTTGTATTTATATTTCACGTACCATTTCTGGCCTCCTGGCAAGGATATAGTGATGTAAAATACAATCTGCACAGGGTGTTTATTTTGAAATTGACAGGATTTTTTTTATTTTATTTTGTATTTACTTTAGTGAAGTGGTGTGGAGGGACGCTTCTGAAACATGCCGCTGCATGGCTGGTGTAAACACAAGCATTGACTAGAGTGGTCAGCTCCTGTGGCCGCTTTGGAGCTGTAACACGCCACAGACATATGCAGTGTAAAAAAAGGGGTTAGAAATGCAGTTGTGAACACACACAAGACTTAGCAATGAATGACAGTGAGAACCGGGCTTATATAGGGTGAGCTAACAAAGCTAATGAGACACAGGTGTAAACAATGAGTGCAGGCAAAGGAAGACTGAGAGACAGATGATGATCAGAGCTGGTGATCATGACAAAAATGATGAGTTACGTTAAACACGACAACACCGCACAGCTTCTGCTAGAGCTGTCTAGTCATTGAGAGGAAATCCTCTCCTCTCTACCCCTGATCATTCAGAGCTGTGCAGGGCTAGAGCTTAGAAAGATTAGCCCAAATAACCATTTTATTCATGAAAGAAGGGCATGTTGGGCATATTTATAATGTTTATAGTCTAAAGAGTATAGAGCGCATAAGGATTAATGTCAGGAACGTATACCTTTAGAGTTTGGTAAGCCAGCGCAATAGGCATGATCTTGTGTCCACTGTGGGATCGACGGAGGTTACAAAGCGGGCATAACAAACGCTGACATGACCTGCAGTAAAATTGCAACCTCTCCTGCTCGTGCTCTACACACACTAATACCTGCATGTGAGTGAGAGAGAGAGAGATGTGAAGGAAGATAAATGGACAAAGAAAAAGACAGAGAAAGAGGAAATGAGGTTAAGAGGAACTTTTGAGACTATAACAGTTTATCAAAAAATCATCTGTGTCGACTGCTGTGGAAAAGGGCAATATTTGAATATTATTTGATTGGGATTGCATGGGATATATTTCAAAATATATAAAAGAATCCATTGTCATATGGACAAACATATAAATAAAAATAATGCAAAATACTGTTTTGCACATACACTACTGTCTAAGTCTTAGGCCACTAGTATTTTCATCAACAAAAAATGGTTTTAAGTCAGTTATTTCTTTCTTTTGCTGTAGTGTGTCAGTACGAAATATCAGTTTACATTTCTAAACATTTCTTTTGCCATTAATTGGAATAATGCACTGAGATTTTTGTATGCACAAGGAGCCAGTGCTCCACACAGAGATCTGATCTCACCATCATCCAGTTCATCTTGAATTACATGAAGAAACAGAAAAAACTGAGACAGACTAAATCTAGAAGAACTGTGGCAACATCTCCAAAACACTTGAAGAAACCCTGCAAAGATACCTGAAAAACTATGTGCAAGGGTACCAAGGACAAAAGCTGTTTTAAACGCAAAGGTTGGTCACATGAAATGTTGATTTGATTTAGTTAATATAAGTTAATTGATAAATAAAATCTATTTATGTCATTATTTTTGAAAGCATCCTCACTTTACAGCATTTTTACAAAAGTGCCTAAAACTTTTCACAGTATTGTAGCTTTGCAGGAAGGTTTCTTGAAGTGTCTTGGAGACGTTGCCACAGTTCTTCAGGATTTAGTCTGTCTCAGTTTTTTCTGTTTCTTCAGGTCATTCCAGACAGACTGGATGATTGTGAGATCAGATCTCTGTGTGGAGAACTGGCTGTTGTCAGACTCCTGGTGCATACAAAAATCTCACTGTATTATTAGAATTAATGGCAAAAGAAATGTTTGGACATAACATTCAAAAATGTGGTTCGGTATGTTTTTTTTGTTTTGTTTTTGAAAGTCGTTTATGCTCACTAAGGCTGCACATATGTATGAAATATACAGTAATAATAGTAATATTGTGAAATATTATTACAGTTTAAAATAACTGTTTTCTATTTCAATATATTTTAAAATATAATTTATTCCTGTCATTCCAGACAGACTGGATGATTGTGAGATCAGATCTCTGTGTGGAGAACTGGCTGTTGTCAGACTCCTGGTGCATACAAAAATCTCACTGTATTATTAGAATTAATGGCAAAAGAAATGTTTGGAAATGTAAACTGATATTACCTACAGACACACTACAGCAAAAGCTAGACATTACTGGCTTTAAAATATATATATATATATAATTGGGCCCCCAGAATCACAGTTTGCATACTTCTTCAAAGTACAGAAAATAAATACACTACTATTCAAAAGTTTTGGGGCTAGTATATATATTTAAAAAAATAATAATAATAATAATAATAAATTATATATATATATATATATATATATATATTATCATATATACTTTTGCACAGTACTGTATATACATAACATTCAAAAATGTGGTTCGGTATGTTTTTTTTGTTTTGTTTTTGAAAGTCGTTTATGCTCACTAAGGCTGCACATATGTATGAAATATACAGTAATAATAGTAATATTGTGAAATATTATTACAGTTTAAAATAACTGTTTTCTATTTCAATATATTTTAAAATATAATTTATTCCTGTTATGGCAAAGCTAATTTTTCAGCAGCCGTTACTCCAGGCTTCAGTGTCTCATGATCCGTCAGAAATCATTCTAATATGCTGATTTGGTGCTCAAGAAACATTTCTTGTTGAAAACATTTGTGCTGCTTAATATTTTAAGCAGTGACACAAATGTAACAGTTTTGCAGGATTCTTTGATAAATAGAAAGTTCAAAAGAACAGCATTTATTTGAAATAAAATCTTTTGTAGCATTATAAATGTCTCTTCTCTCACTTTTCATCAGGTTAATGCATGAATAGAAGTATTACTTTCTTTTCAAAAAATCTTTTGAATGGTAATGTATATGACTGGTAAATTTCTTCAAAACACTGGCAGGTGTGAAAAAAAAAACTGGAACCTGAATGTCAACATAGAGCAACCTGGAATTTATGGTTTGACTCAAAGACTCTCTCTCTCTCTCTTTATGTTTGTGGCCCATTAGTGTTGATCTTCTCTCAGAATGGTCCCATGTGTTTTTACCTTGGGTCTGAAGCTGTGTGTGGGCAGAATGTGTTCATGTTGGGCTCGTGGTGTGCCCCAAGGGTGGTACAGCTTGAAGCACTCGTTACAGAAGTTGGACCTGCAATCAGCGCAGCCTTTGGTGGCCTCCAAAGCCTGAGGAGGTTTGCAGAACTGGCACATGACTGCCATGCTGCCGAGACTCACTGTGTGCCTGTACCTGCACACATGGACGAAGAAAGACACCGGTCATCTATTGTGATTTTAAAATTAATAACATGAGGCTAATCTGAAAAGTAAACACATATGGCTTGGGTTACATGTACGCATGCTTGTTTCATTTTATTATATATTTGTATGTGTACATAAATTATAGCGTGTGTGGTGTATTGTGAGGTAGATGCAGCTCAGCTGTCCAAAGACTACATAAAACAAAAATTCAGCTTCCCCATTTTCTCACAACTTTTAAAGGAAAAGTTGAACCCACAAGTTTTTAGATGTTAAAAGGAACAGAATCAGAATCAGAAGAGCTTTATTACCAAGTATGTTTACACACAGAAGGAAATTGACTTGACCACAGGAGCTTCCAGTGTAGAAGAAAGTGCAAACATAGTGAAGGCATACATAGGAATAACACAGTAGGGATGTAATATAACACTAGTATAATAAAATAAAATAAAAAATTTAACAATGTACTATATACAGAAATAGAAGTATAGTTGTATACTAGTAATTTAATTGTTTAGATAAATGTACAGATATGTTTATTAGTGTGCAGATATATTATTTACAAAGTGTGCAGTTTAATATAAATATAACTATGTTAGTTGTGATGGACAATGTATAATTATGAAAGATTAATTGTTCAGGCTGAATATAGCCTGCGGGGAAAAAACTGTTCTTGTGCCTGGCTGTTCTGGTGGTCAGTGCTCTGTAGCGCCGGCCAGAAGGCACCTATTCGAAGGGAGAGTGGGCTGGGTGTGAGGGGTCCAAGGTGATTTTTTTAGCCCTTTTCCTCACTCTGGAGATGTAAAGATCTTGGAGGCTGGGCAGAGGGGCACCGATAATCCTCTCAGAAGTCCTGACTGTCCATTGTAGTTTCTTGATGTCTGATTTGGTAGCTGAACTAAACCAGACAGTTATGGGAAGCTTTTCTAGATTTCTAGATTTCTTCCCGGTTCACATCCTCTACACAGACCTTAAGAACAGGTTGAATGGTGGGGGAGGGTGAGAGGGGGGTTGCAGGGGTGGTATGTGAATGTGTGAAGTGCAGATCAGAGCGGATGGGGGGTGGTAGACTATCCTTTTTAAATCTGCAGTAAAACACATTCAGATCGTCAACCAGTTGTTGATTCTCCGCAGACTGTGGGGGTGGTGTCTTGCACATGGTGATGTTCTTCAGACCAATCCATACTGACGCTGGATCGTTTGCTGAAAGCTCTTTTCTCAGCTTTTCTGAGTAGTTTTTTTAGCCACTCTGAACTCCTTTGTTACTAAAATATTTAAATATTTTAACAATTTATTATGTAAAAAATAAATAAATAGCTTTTTTTTTTTTTTTTTCATTCCATAACAAATTTTGTTCCAGAAATGACCAGTCACATACAAAGCTCCATGCATGACATGCGGAAGAAAAAATAGATTTTGTTGCTATGATTTAAAGTCATATGATGCGATTTCAATTTTTCCTTTCTCTTTGGAGTTGTTACAAGCTCTTGGTGCAAGTCTCAAATCCAAAGAGATATTCTTTATAAAAGTTAAGAGTCAACCATGCCTACCTAAAACGGCTCGTTCTAACACGCCCCCACACGTCTACGTCACGATGTGGGAAGATTTGCATAACGCTGCCCAAATGTTCACGCAAAGAAAGAAGGCATAACTTTTTTTCTCGCTGTAGTATTGTTGCTGCCGCCATGTCGTGAAGACGCGGTGTGTTTGTGTTCTGTGTGTTTCATTGCGAAAGCGAAACTACTTTGTTTGGCCTTCCAAAAGAGGATGATATCCGCTTCGTCATGCCTGGAGCTGATCCGTGCTGGTCGCTGAGGGAATACATCAACTTCACGCTGTAGATCGCTGGATCGGCTTTCACCGTGGACGAAGCAGAGTCCAGCCCGGGGTCGTCACATGTGGTTGCCGCAAGAGCTCCGGACGCTCCTTCGTCGAATCCACCCGTCGCGCCGTTCTCAAGCCCACCGGTCGTCGCTCACTCAAGTCGGCCTCCGCTCACTCTGTGACGCTGTGTGTGACGCTGTGTTTCATTGTGAAAGCAAACCTACTTTGTTTGGCCTTCCAAAAGAGGACACGATGTATTTACAACACTGTTCCAGAACAGTTCAACCCAAATATTGTGATGTGTCCAACGCATTTTATGGAGGACTGTTTCCTGATCCTGGGAGAGTAGACTACAATGCCGGCTGTTCTGACTCACAGACTGTAAGTATGTTTTTTATATTTAAAGAATTTGCCACTGACGATTCAAACGCGAGTTTTGAGCAGTGTAGAGTAGTGCTTGTTGTTTGTCACTTCTCCGATCACAAATGCAGACATGGTTTTATGTTTACGCAGCGCGATGCAATGCGTAAAAAGACAGTATATGTCATTATAATCCATCCCCACTGGATGCAACAAATGCCTCGTTTATAATGGGTTTGAATGTTTTTGTCTCGTCGCTTCGGCCGGGACACGGCATCACAGTATGGTAAGGGGCGTAACATTTCCGTCACACGCTTGAGGTATTCAGCCAATCACAACGCACTGGATAGCCAATCAAAGCACACCTTGCTTTTCAGACTGATAAGCTTTGTAAAAATCGACACGTTTCAGAAAGGCGGGGCAAAGAGGAGAAAAAATTATGTACAGTATTTGGAAAATAATGTGTTTTTTGAACCTTAAACCGCATAAACACATTTCATTACACCAAATACACAAAATAATGTTATTTTTAGCAACATCATATGACCCCTTTAAGAATTTGTTCACACGATTTATTAATCTGTGTCCATGTTGTACTCATTTGATTCCTTTGATTTAATTTTTGAGTTAAATATTTTTTTCTCTTGATTTTTAAATCTATAATGGAACCTACACAGCGTTATGGTCGTTTTGAAAGCTTAAGGCAATTTGCTTGTGCACATTTTTATACTAGCTCAGAATGGGAGCTATGCATGCTCATTACTGGAAGGAATAAACTAAATATTTTTCTGTTTCCTCCTTTCTCTACCTCATTTTGCAATGCCAAAAAGGTAATTTCACTGGTCCACGTACTGTGTGAGAATATTCAAAGAGCTATCAATCTCTTTGGTGATGTGCCTATGAATAGATGCAAATTCAGAACATCTGCTCAAGGGTTCCAAACCAGTAGAACAACATTTCTGCATTGTACAGCACAGTTACTGGAATTCAATTGTAATGTAGCTCCAGTTAAGAAAAGCAGAAATTGTGAGGAAGAGTGTTTGCGTGTGAAAGAGAGACACCTCTCCACTATACGCTCCAGCGTGAGATTTCTTAGACAATCTGCAAGCCCTCTCTCTCCTAGCTCCACATCTTTTCCGCAGGTGGGACAGGGGAACAGCATGATCACAGGAGGGGTGTCTTTACGCCTGCGACCTGGATGTGTCCCACACACTGTACAAAGAGAGAGAGAGAGATACAGGTAGAAAAAGCTGTTTCCAACATTAACGCTTCTTTAAGCCCCAATAAATCTAAGCCAGGAAGAAGAAAGGAAAAGCTAATCAATGCAGAAAGAGAACCGATTCCAGAGGCCTGTTGTGTGCTGACACATTCAGAATCAGCCCATCATGACGGCTACATTTAAACACACACGCACCTGCAAAGTGCTGCACAGATGCAATACATCTGAATGATACAGTAACATCTATAAACTTTTGCACAGAGCTAAAACTATGCTGTTATGTCAACATTTTAAATGTTATTTAATATAACTAAATCAATTGTTTTAAAAATACATCATGTTTAAATAACAAATTTTAAAAAATGTTATTCGATTTTTAAATAAATATTATAATTATAACAAATAAATAATTAAATTGACATGCTGTCATGTTTTAGTAAGCATATTGCAAATATTTTTCAATAAAAAGTAATATAATCATTCAAACTATTTCTATAAATAATATTTTATCTAACTATATTTTTAAACTATATATACAGTACTTATTAAATAATAAGCAAACAAATTATTAAACTGACATGATTCTTAAATTTTACTGATAATTGATTTGAGCTAAAAAATTATTTGATTATGGGAGAATAAAAGGACCACAAAGAGATACAAGAGTGTAAAATTAGATGTTTGAGTCACTAAGACTTTTTTTTTAGATTCAGCAAGGATGCATTAAATTGATCAAAAGTTACTGTAAAAACTTTTACTTTGTTCTATTTCAAATACTGTAAATGCTGTTCTTTTGAACTTTCTATTCATCAAAGGATCCTGAAAAAAGATCCCACTTTCCACAAAAATATTAAGCAGCACAACTGTTTTCAAAATTGATCATAAGAAATGATTGTTGAGCAAAAAGCAGCATATTAGAATGATTTCTGAAGGATCATGGGACGCTGAAGACTGGAGCAAAGGCTACTGAAATTTTGCTTTGCCACCACAGGAATTAATTAAATTTTAAACATATAAAATAGAATAATATTTCACAATATTACAGTGTTTACTGTATTTGGGATCAAATAAATGCAGCCTTGGTGAGCAAAACATTGAAAAATCCCACCGAGTGTACAGTTTAGTGGTCACTTTAAAAAATGCTTGATTGCAGAACTGACCAACTGATTGACAAATCAGAATCAAGTGTCCCAGACAGCTGTTTAATAAAATACCAGCACACTTTATTTTGATCTTAGTGTCTATTAATGAACACACAAACCTGTTCTGATCACCCGGTCTAGACGGTCTGTTTTGGGCGGAGGCCGGCGTGTTTGTCGGGGAGAGCGCGTAATGGGGCTTGAGGTGGGAGTTTTGGGCTCTGCGGGGAGTTCGGGTGGAGGGTATCCTCTTTGAACCAAGACTTCTGCCGCACACAGTACACACACACTGTGCATACAAGGCAACACTATCGGCTGCTTCACCATCTCCTCACACACTGGACAGTGCAGCTCTCTCTTTATGCTCTTCATATTGGACTAGACAGAGAAAGAGACAGAGTTAAATAAATAATTAGCAGAACAAAACATGCAATCAAACAGGCATGCTCTTTACATTATAGATTATGTTGATACAGTATATATAGGCATAGATCATAGCCATATATCCTGATTCTGAGGTTAAGCTCACTCAAAAATACTTAATTCCTGATGTTATGTGCAGTTTCATGTTTTATTTATTTATTTATTTTGAAGAACTGTAGATTGATCCAAAGATGACTATATTTGGAGTAGAACAGGGGTATTTTATTATTATTATTATTTCAATTTTAATGACTGAAATTGATTATGGATTATGCTGTGGACTGGGTTTTTGTAAGGTAAACAATATGGAAATAGGTTAGTCAGAACATTTGCATATCAGGAGAAGGATGTGCATATCAACACACACAAACAGCCATGTTGTTTATTAAAACCGCAGTCAATACTTCCTTTATTCTAGTATTTTTTATAAATTACTCCAGTTTCGCACTATGGGGTAACAATGGAAATCTTTTTATGCAACATTCAAATCATGAGTGACACATACAATATGACTGATATTTTCAGCCACTTCGTTTTATTCATAATTGAGAGATTTACGAGTTGTTTTCAAATAGAGAAATCTGTTCAAAGGTATGTTTGTATCTTTGGTCTGAGTGTCTAAATGCAACTCAAACCTTTCAAATGCCAGAAAGTACAAGAATGTCACTCCTCAAACTCGAAAAACTTCATGTTGGCTTCTGTAATAAAGTTCAAGGTTACAGAAATCTTGTTTAAAGAGTGTAAAATTACATGTTTGAGTCACTAAGACTTTTTTTTTAGATTCAGCAAGGATGCATTAAATTGATCAAAAGTTACTGTAAAAACTTTTACTTTGTTCTATTTCAAATACAGTGGGTACGGAAAGTATTCAGACCCCCTTAAATTGAACTTTCTATTCATCAAAGGATCCTGAAAAAAGATCCCACTTTCCACAAAAATATTAAGCAGCACAACTGTTTTCAAAATTGATCATAAGAAATGATTGTTGAGCAAAAAGCAGCATATTAGAATGATTTCTGAAGGATCATGGGACGCTGAAGACTGGAGCAAAGGCTACTGAAATTTTGCTTTGCCACCACAGGAATTAATTAAATTTTAAACATATAAAATAGAATAATATTTCACAATATTACAGTGTTTACTGTATTTGGGATCAAATAAATGCAGCCTTGGTGAGCAAAACATTGAAAAATCCCACCGAGTGTACAGTTTAGTGGTCACTTTAAAAAATGCTTGATTGCAGAACTGACCAACTGATTGACAAATCAGAATCAAGTGTCCCAGACAGCTGTTTAATAAAATACCAGCACACTTTATTTTGATCTTAGTGTCTATTAATGAACACACAAACCTGTTCTGATCACCCGGTCTAGACGGTCTGTTTTGGGCGGAGGCCGGCGTGTTTGTCGGGGAGAGCGCGTAATGGGGCTTGAGGTGGGAGTTTTGGGCTCTGCGGGGAGTTCGGGTGGAGGGTATCCTCTTTGAACCAAGACTTCTGCCGCACACAGTACACACACACTGTGCATACAAGGCAACACTATCGGCTGCTTCACCATCTCCTCACACACTGGACAGTGCAGCTCTCTCTTTATGCTCTTCATATTGGACTAGACAGAGAAAGAGACAGAGTTAAATAAATAATTAGCAGAACAAAACATGCAATCAAACAGGCATGCTCTTTACATTATAGATTATGTTGATACAGTATATATAGGCATAGATCATAGCCATATATCCTGATTCTGAGGTTAAGCTCACTCAAAAATACTTAATTCCTGATGTTATGTGCAGTTTCATGTTTTATTTATTTATTTATTTTGAAGAACTGTAGATTGATCCAAAGATGACTATATTTGGAGTAGAACAGGGGTATTTTATTATTATTATTATTTCAATTTTAATGACTGAAATTGATTATGGATTATGCTGTGGACTGGGTTTTTGTAAGGTAAACAATATGGAAATAGGTTAGTCAGAACATTTGCATATCAGGAGAAGGATGTGCATATCAACACACACAAACAGCCATGTTGTTTATTAAAACCGCAGTCAATACTTCCTTTATTCTAGTATTTTTTATAAATTACTCCAGTTTCGCACTATGGGGTAACAATGGAAATCTTTTTATGCAACATTCAAATCATGAGTGACACATACAATATGACTGATATTTTCAGCCACTTCGTTTTATTCATAATTGAGAGATTTACGAGTTGTTTTCAAATAGAGAAATCTGTTCAAAGGTATGTTTGTATCTTTGGTCTGAGTGTCTAAATGCAACTCAAACCTTTCAAATGCCAGAAAGTACAAGAATGTCACTCCTCAAACTCGAAAAACTTCATGTTGGCTTCTGTAATAAAGTTCAAGGTTACAGAAATCTTGTTTATTTACATTCCAGCCACCTGAGCTTCATATTTGGTATAGAGTCATTTTAAGGAAGTAAACATTTTTAAATTCTACACCAATGGAATCTAAATTAAAGAAATTATAATATTTCAACAGTTCTTGAAGTAAAAATCACATTCATTTGATTTATTTACTGATTTTGAATGATAACTGATTAACCTTTAAAGACTAAATTTTTTAATTGATGGTTTATGTGTTTGTTAAAGCTGTCAGTCCACATTCTTTCAACCTATTCTTTAAATAATCATGTTTAACAGTGGAATCGATGGTGAAAACTGAAAAGAAATCTCCACCTTCACTAGTAAATATTGCCAAAAGAACACTTTATGCCAGTCCACTCACGCAGATTCTCCCTACACTCTTAAACTACTTAAATATTTCGATTTTGCAATACACATAAAATATATTGTCTCTAAATTAATCAAAATAGTTAAACAAATAGTTTACATTTCTTAAATGTTTTTAAAGTAATTCTTCACAGGATTGTAGCTCTTTCCTTATTAAAGCCACTCAGTACACAGTCTTGTACATTTGTTTTATTCAGTTTTCAGATATTTTTTGCTTCAAATTAAACTTTGTAATGTTGTGATTCGCCTCATAGCTGGTCGGTCTGCTTCATATCTTAACAGTTCAAAACTTACTTTTAAATCCTTATGGGAAAAATATTTCCAGAACCAAGGCTGCTGAAAAAGTGGCCTGCAGGCACTGTTGCAACTCTATCAGTCCCAATCATTTGAAAACAAATGAAAAAAGAAAATGCTGACACACTCATCAGCAGACAGGTGCTCAGCTAGTTTAGCTGCTTAGCAAGATGATCTTGAAGCCTGCCCAGCTGAAAAGTGCCATAAGCCCCTCTAAACCAGACCAGCAAATCAATTTTTGGCTATTTTAAGTTGTTTTCTGTTCAGCGTCTAGCCGTTACTTGCCCCACAGCTGACAGCATATACATTTAATTTGGTCAATAAGCCATTCAAATGATTAAATTCGCCCAGCTGTCTTCTATCTGTCTTTTTAACGGGCGTTTCCCACAGAGGCTCTCCAGGCCTCAGCGCTCATGCATCCCGTCTCTATGGCAACATGCATCCTGTCGCGCGACTGTGACAAGGCCTTTTACCTTTTCTTGGATTTATAAAGCCTTCTTTAATTTTCCTTCAAGTCATTGAAACAATTTATATGTTGTTTCAACGTCTGAAAGGCCTATGCGTCAATAAAATACTAAGGTAGACTGAATGGGCCCGTATATTCAGTCTTGTATTAACGGGAAAATATTCTGTTATTTATTTGGCCTACACGAGTGAGAGCATATATATCATATAATAGCAGAGAAAAGCAGCCTTGGCCTACACGCGCTTCAGCGGCTGGCAGCAGATGAGGAGCTCGGTTTCTGCTTACAGGTGTTATTTGCACAATCCGAGGAAATGATATGCTCTCAATAAAAGATGGGGTGTTTTGCTATGTTAACGCTATTTATAAAATGTTACATTTGGGTATGAAAAACACTCAAAATGCCCCTTTTCTTTGAAAGCTGCTGTGACGTGCATTCGTGTGTTAAATAACAGCCGCATGCAAATCACAGATAACGTGCAAATATGTGGTTTTGATGATGCAAATGTGCACTTACGCTGATGCGCACGAGAGCGTCCATTATGGATGTAAAGGTTTGCAACTCCGCATCTGCCATTGCTGGAACTATGCCGGTTGGTAAAATAATATCAAATGAAATAAACTCTATTATTGAGCGCCCTTTTTAATATACGTATACATTCATTAAAAACAACTAACAGCTTATAAGATCAGGACACCGCGAAATAAACCGAAATGGTGGTATCTGCAACCGAAATTGACGGCTATAGGACAAACCTTTACGTTATAATGATATTATTTGTGTCTAATATGTCGGAGATGTCCAATTTAACGCAATCCATGTTGATTCAGAGGTTTTCCAACAGTGCTTGCTGTGGTCTGTTCTGACGGATATTGAGCAATCCATGAAGTCGATGGATGTTGTGAGGTGTTCGGGGGGAGGTCAGTAAAGAGCATGCGCAGGGAGCAATAAGTATATTATAAGTAGCCTATATAATATAATATGCGTATTTTTATAACGTGTGTATTTTATGTTGCTTTGTAAAATCAAAGCAACATAAAATACACACGTTATAAAAAAATACGCATATTATATTATATATAAAAAAAACTAAAATGTTTTTTTTTTACATAAATATAGGCTATACATGTACACACTATTTGTTTGAACGTGCTTCAAGACAATTATCTTCTAAAGGTTAAAAAATCCACGAAAAATCAATTTCTGGGGCAAATATTGCCCCTTAATAAAAATATTTAGGCTATGCATTAAGTGTATGTGTCTGTAAATGTGCTATCTTAACCACAGAGAAAAAAAATGTTTTTTCCTAATGCTGTCATGAAGTTGAAACATGATTATCCCTTTCTTCTTGTTCATAAATTTTGGTCATATATCTATATAAATAAATAGGCTATGTAATCCCTAATAAAGTCAAAGTCTAAGAAACAATTCATTGATATTATCAATTTAATGACTTTAGTAAATTTAAAGAAGGGTATTCACCATAGGCCTAATGGTGAATACCCTTCTTTAAATTTAAAGAGGAGTCAGAGACAATTTTACACCATAGGCTATTTTTCAGTTACTTTTCCAAAGTTATTTTGGACCCAAGTTTCATTGTTTATTTGTTTTATAAATTTTTTATGAAAACTGATACAATGGTCTTGTTTATGGAATGTGATACTGGTTTACTAGAGATGGAGAATATAGTCAAAATTCTTATTTTATTTGGTAAATACATATACACAAAGCAAAATACATGTAAACTGTACCAAATGGTAGACTGTTTTCCACTGATTTGAAGATATTTTATGATTCCTTAATCTCAACACAGATCAATTGTAAAGCTGTTAAGATTTATTTGCTGCTGAAAAAGATAATGTATTAGATGCATGAATGGTTTTTGTTTTTGTTTTTACATAAGATGAAAAAGCTTTGCTTTCGTTGTTTTATGTTTGCTTATGTCTGTCTGTATTCCCCTTTTGTTAAATCAATAAAAAAGAAAGGAAAAGAAAAAAGAATGTGACCCAAAGCTGCCCTGCAGGTATGGGCGAAATGCCATTAGAAGAAAGACGTATGCAATTAGAAATGGTTTACTGGGTATCCTTAAAGGGCCACAACAGTAAGCATCCAACTAAGGCGATTTTTGAAGAATGCTGGGAACATGAGAGAACAAATATAAAAAGCATTGGTTGGATAGCAGAAGAAAAGGAAGTATAGTGATGCAGTTCCTACAGTATATCTGCACTCCCACTGTGGTTATTTAAAATGCCTGCAATAGACCTGTATCTACTAGAGGTGGAAAAATTGAATAGTGAGTGGTGCAATAAATGAAGTAAATCATTATATTGAACAGACATATTATGACAATGTACACATTTATACAGATGATTCAAAAGAACCAGAATCTAATAAGACAGGAATAGCACAAAAGGAAGTAATTATTGCAAAAAAGAACACCAGACTACTTATCTGTATTTACTATAGAGTTGATTGCTATTGTTATAGCTTTACATCGGTTGGAAGAGACACAGATTAAGAAAGCAGTTTTATGCTCAGATTCTCTGGCGGCTTTAAGACGTATTCAGTCAGGACAATCAAATTGCAAACAAGATATTATTATAGAAATAATGCAACTGCTATATAGACTTCATGCTCAAGAAATGGTTGTTTAGTTTGTATGGGTCCCAGCACATGTTGGAATAGATGGAAACAAGATGGCAGATAAACATGCTAAAAGATAGTTGAATAAAAATTATGTAGAAATTGATGTAAAAATCAGCAAAGCAGAAGCAAAGGCAATTATTAAGCAAGCTGTTATTAAATCTTGGCAACATAAATGGGATATGGAGAAGACAGGTAGACATCTGTATAAAATCCAAGACAGTAGGATTACAAAATAATGAGACTGGAAGTGACTTTAAAAGAAGAGAAGAAGTAATAATAGCAAGATTAAGATTAGTACACATTCATCTTTAAATAAAGACGTGCTTAAAATCAGGAAGCATCTTTCTGGATTATTTACATCTTGTGGTGAAATTGAAAAAGTTGAGCATATTTTATTATTGTAGACTGATAGTAAAGAGAGACAAGTGCTGGAAACAAAGATGCAAACAGAAGGTGCAAAAAATATGACATTAGAACTAATATTAGGTAATAGAGAATTCAGAAGAATGATAATGAGTTATCTAAGAGACACGGGAAATCATGAGAATATAAGATTATTTTTATTATTATTATTTATCCTTCTCATTGTCACTCCACACTCTAGTTCAGTTGGTGGCGGTAATGCACCAAAAATTGGCTTGCCCACCGCCAATAAACGTTACAAGAAGAAGAAAAAGACTGCGCTGCTCTCTTCTGTCCACTAGATGGAGCTGTCGGGTTTGTTGGGTTCGCACTTGGCACAGTTTTTAGACGTTAGCGTCGCGGCATCTTTGCTCTGCTGGCCCTGGGACTGAAAAGCGAGGTGTTAAACCTGTCTCTTTACCTTACAGCTGTCAAATATGGGTGAGTGTAGCTTTTATATGAATTATTCAGGATAAATCATGTTCTATCTATTGGCGCTGGTGAACAGTTTGCACGCATGAACATGAAATAGGACAGATGGGCTCGCTTAAAGTTTTAGCCCTTAATAGCAAAATAGTTGCCTGCTGCAGATCTTCATTTAAATAACTTTGAGAACACTAGCAATGTGTTGAAATGTGGTAGTTTCGTCCCTTTGTGTTTCGGGAAAAAAGCACAAAACATTGTACAATCTGAATGCCGTTTAGCCACAGCTAACGTTAACCCACGCTAAAACATTTCATACGTTTTCAATCGTCGTCGGCACAGCATTTGTAGAAAAGCCGAAAGAACAAGAACATCATAATCCAGTGTACGCTTACTATTTATATAAGCACTTAAAGCAAACAAACGAGTATTGTAGAAAATTGTAGCTGCAGTGCTTGTTTCCACACGGAACGTTTTAAAACGCGTACATTGACGTGTCAAACTTCGTCCATGTATTTTAATGTTCTGTAGAACAATACAGAGTCAAATGCTTCAGATAAGTTTAAGCTTAGTGTAAATGTAAAAATATGAATTACATTTGTTTTTAAATAAATAATATGAATGAAAAATAAACGTGTTAGTAACATGACTGGTCATAATATCCTTTGATTTTTAGACTGCTGCTTCCACGCACTCTTTCACACGGTCTTTCTCTCTTTTACTGTAGCGGTGAACACAAGCACGTCCCTGCTGTTGTCCAGTCTGCTGTCAGTGCTGGTGTTTGCAGGAATGCAGATGTTCAGCAGGCAGCTGGGCTCTTCAGAGTGGCTGACCATCCTGGGGGGCTTCCTGGGATCTGTGCTGTTTGTCTGCTCTCTTACTGTATCCTTCTGACGCTTTGTCATGCATACAGCCCTAGTTTGTGTAACCTCAACATTATTTATGTTTTGCTCATCTGCTTTTCTGTTAGTTCTTAACCCGCAATTACAGGCTTTCAATAACCTGGAGAACCTTGTCTTTGGCAAAGGCTTCCAAGCCAAAATCTTCCCAGAGAGTAAGTGTGAGAATATGCACAAGACAAGACTGTGCATTGACCTTATGTTGTACTGCTGTTGTCTGGTGTATCCTCCTCCTCGCCTGCAGAAAGTTCAAATGAATGCATTGTACACTACCATTCAATAGTTTGGGCTCAATTTTTTTCTTTTTCTTTTCTTGAAATAAATTCATACTTTTATTAAGCAAGGTTGCATTAAATTTATCAAAAGTGCCAGTAAAAACATTTATAATGTTGCAAAAAATGTCCATTTAAAAAAAAAAAAAAAAGTGAATGCATTCTTTTGAACATTGAAGAATCCTGAAAAAATGCAACGGTTTCCACAAATATATTAGCCAGCACAACTGTTTTCAACATTAATAATACGAAATGTTTCTTGAGCACCACATAAGCATATTAGAATGATTTCTGAAGGATCATGTGACACTGAAGACTGGAGTAATCACTGCTGAAAATGTAAACAGGAATTCATTCATTTTCAAATCTATTCAAACAGCAAAACTGTTAACTGTAATAATATTTCACAATGTCACTCTTTTTGTGATCAAATAAATGCAACCTTGTAGAGTAGCCTATAAGAGACTTAAAAAAAAAATTATACTGACCTCAAACCTTTGAACAGTGCCATTTTAATAATGAACAAATTAGAAAAATTTGTTATACAAATTAAATCAGATTAATGATTTTAATTAAGATTAATATCTGTACTTGCCTGAAAAAGATTCCATCCCTCTCTTAGTTGTCTTGTGCCTGTGCCTCTCTCTGTTTGCGTCTGGTTTGGTGCATCGTGTGTGCGTGACAACATGGTAAGTGGGACGGCATTACTTATGTTTTAAAGTAATTTGATTACCACAGTAAAAAACTTGGCTCATACCAGTAAACAGTTGTAGAAAAGGAAACCCACGTTACTTTTATAGGCTTCATGTCTGATTGGCAACTGTTAATTTGTTCTTTCTATCTCTGTCCTCTCTCATATAGCCTGATCTTCTCTGTCTTTGCACTGTACTACATCAACAAAGTGTCAGCAGCTCTTTACCAGGCAATCTGAATGCCGTTTAGCCACAGCTAACGTTAACCCACGCTAAAACATTTCATACGTTTTCAATCGTCGTCGGCACAGCATTTGTAGAAAAGCCGAAAGAACAAGAACATCATAATCCAGTGTACGCTTACTATTTATATAAGCACTTAAAGCAAACAAACGAGTATTGTAGAAAATTGTAGCTGCAGTGCTTGTTTCCACACGGAACGTTTTAAAACGCGTACATTGACGTGTCAAACTTCGTCCATGTATTTTAATGTTCTGTAGAACAATACAGAGTCAAATGCTTCAGATAAGTTTAAGCTTAGTGTAAATGTAAAAATATGAATTACATTTGTTTTTAAATAAATAATATGAATGAAAAATAAACGTGTTAGTAACATGACTGGTCATAATATCCTTTGATTTTTAGACTGCTGCTTCCACGCACTCTTTCACACGGTCTTTCTCTCTTTTACTGTAGCGGTGAACACAAGCACGTCCCTGCTGTTGTCCAGTCTGCTGTCAGTGCTGGTGTTTGCAGGAATGCAGATGTTCAGCAGGCAGCTGGGCTCTTCAGAGTGGCTGACCATCCTGGGGGGCTTCCTGGGATCTGTGCTGTTTGTCTGCTCTCTTACTGTATCCTTCTGACGCTTTGTCATGCATACAGCCCTAGTTTGTGTAACCTCAACATTATTTATGTTTTGCTCATCTGCTTTTCTGTTAGTTCTTAACCCGCAATTACAGGCTTTCAATAACCTGGAGAACCTTGTCTTTGGCAAAGGCTTCCAAGCCAAAATCTTCCCAGAGAGTAAGTGTGAGAATATGCACAAGACAAGACTGTGCATTGACCTTATGTTGTACTGCTGTTGTCTGGTGTATCCTCCTCCTCGCCTGCAGAAAGTTCAAATGAATGCATTGTACACTACCATTCAATAGTTTGGGCTCAATTTTTTTCTTTTTCTTTTCTTGAAATAAATTCGTACTTTTATTAAGCAAGGTTGCATTAAATTTATCAAAAGTGCCAGTAAAAACATTTATAATGTTGCAAAAAATGTCCATTTAAAAAAAAAAAAAAAAGTGAATGCATTCTTTTGAACATTGAAGAATCCTGAAAAAATGCAACGGTTTCCACAAATATATTAGCCAGCACAACTGTTTTCAACATTAATAATACGAAATGTTTCTTGAGCACCACATAAGCATATTAGAATGATTTCTGAAGGATCATGTGACACTGAAGACTGGAGTAATCACTGCTGAAAATGTAAACAGGAATTCATTCATTTTCAAATCTATTCAAACAGCAAAACTGTTAACTGTAATAATATTTCACAATGTCACTCTTTTTGTGATCAAATAAATGCAACCTTGTAGAGTAGCCTATAAGAGACTTAAAAAAAAAATTATACTGACCTCAAACCTTTGAACAGTGCCATTTTAATAATGAACAAATTAGAAAAATTTGTTATACAAATTAAATCAGATTAATGATTTTAATTAAGATTAATATCTGTACTTGCCTGAAAAAGATTCCATCTCTCTCTTAGTTGTCTTGTGCCTGTGCCTCTCTCTGTTTGCGTCTGGTTTGGTGCATCGTGTGTGCGTGACAACATGGTAAGTGGGACGGCATTACTTATGTTTTAAAGTAATTTGATTACCACAGTAAAAAACTTGGCTCATACCAGTAAACAGTTGTAGAAAAGGAAACCCACGTTACTTTTATAGGCTTCATGTCTGATTGGCAACTGTTAATTTGTTCTTTCTATCTCTGTCCTCTCTCATATAGCCTGATCTTCTCTGTCTTTGCACTGTACTACATCAACAAAGTGTCAGCAGCTCTTTACCAGGCAAAACTGTTAACTGTAATAATATTTCACAATGTCACTCTTTTTGTGATCAAATAAATGCAACCTTGTAGAGTAGCCTATAAGAGACTTAAAAAAAAATTATACTGACCCCAAACCTTTGAACAGTGCCATTTTAATAATGAACAAATTAGAAAAATTTGTTATACAAATTAAATCAGATTAATGATTTTAATTAAGATTAATATCTGTACTTGCCTGAAAAAGATTCCATCCCTCTCTTAGTTGTCTTGTGCCTGTGCCTCTCTCTGTTTGCGTCTGGTTTGGTGCATCGTGTGTGCGTGACAACATGGTAAGTGGGACGGCATTACTTATGTTTTAAAGTAATTTGATTACCACAGTAAAAAACTTGGCTCATACCAGTAAACAGTTGTAGAAAAGGAAACCCACGTTACTTTTATAGGCTTCATGTCTGATTGGCAACTGTTAATTTGTTCTTTCTATCTCTGTCCTCTCCCATATAGCCTGATCTTCTCTGTCTTTGCACTGTACTACATCAACAAAGTGTCAGCAGCTCTTTACCAGGCAGCACCTGCTCCGGCTCCCGCCAAACCCACCAGCAAGGGCAAAAGAAAGAACTGAAGTGCTTACCTCATCCCGTTACTATCACAGTCACCCATTCAGCCACCAGTTCGCAGTGTGCTGAAGCTACAAAATCTGATGTGTTTGCCAACAGCAGACATTTTTATCCATTCCATTCACACTGAAAGATAACTAAACACATTTGATCAAACCAGTCATAGATGTGTGATTTTTGGTTCTGTTTACAATATGTTTTTGTTTAAGGGGTTTGTTATTAAAAGTTGAAGAAAGAATACATGTGCCATTTTGCTTGTTTTCCTGTTGTTAGACTCCAAATGACTAAAAGGTGTAGTCACATTTATCTTCACTTAGCAAAATTTCACAGGCAAGATCCAGACATTAAATAGGAATATATTAAATGTGGGAGACTCATAGAAATGTGTAAAAGCTTCCCTTGCAGACTTGAACCTTTTTTGCCCACAAAATTTTGCTAATGTGACCGCACTTAACCCACAAAGTGTTTTCATTGTTCTGGTTCTCCACCCTTTGTGTATGCTAATCTGTGTTGGCTAACTGCCTAAGGCCTCAAAATGCATCCTGGGACTCTCAGCTAATTCAGTCCTGGTACTGACCCTGCAAAAAATTCCAGTCATTGTCAACTTTCTGTTTAAACTACTCGGTCCTTAAAGGTCAAACTGCAGATAAGGTTCAAATTCGCATGGGATTAAAATTTTGGGCCTTTACCAGTTGACGCTCAAGCAAATATATTTTCAACGTGTTTCAATTAAAACCAGATCGTTGTGAAACTGCTGTGATAGTTGTGAAACACAACCACTGAATTTTCAGATGGACAAAACTAATGGACGTCTATTTTTACATCAGAGTTTCTGCGGGTCTTAAAAAGGACTTGGAAAGTTCTAATTCATCCTTAGACCAATTAAGGCCTAAAAATGTCTTAAATCAGAGCAGAAAGTCTTAAATTCAGTCATGCCATTAAATGTTGAATGCACTCAAGATTCAGTTACTTAAGATGCAAACTGAACATATGAATTCTTGTTTTATGAGAAACTGAACAAAATTGAGTTTATATTTAAAACACAAATATCTGTCTGGAGTATGAAAACTTGTTTAAGTTGAATTTTCTGAGCCCATTAGGAGATATTTGTTCTTGTTTTAACATTTCTCTTAAAACAAGACTTCTTATTCTGTCATTTTGCTTCTCAAACAAGTTTATCTTGATTTAAGAATCTTTAGACATTTGCACTGGACCTTTTTTTAACCAAACTACTGGTTAGGCCACTTAAAAAAAGTAATGTCCTAGCTTGAAAAGAATGCTGTGAAACCCCTTCTGAACTGTTCACCATGCTACTATGACAACACAATCATGCCTGGTCAAAACACCATGTGTCATCCACCCATGACTGTTCTCTCTCTTCCCTTTTTCCTTTCCATGTCCTACTGATAGAGATTACATTTAGTTTCCAAAGGGATACAATGTATAAATTGTCTGAGTAACTTTCCCTTTGTTTTGCTTGGGGAAATACTGATTTATTAGGTCTGTGGTGCAATGAATGCATGAATTCTGGCTAAACATTGTCTCACTCATGTATGGTATGTGCACAGTAATGCTGCTACCAAACATGCCCCTAGGTTGTGTTGTTGGTCACTTAAAGTATGATAGTACATTTTCTTGCATAGACGAAATGGTTTAAGGCACTTCCTGTGTTCTGGGTAGGGACATCCCCTCACACTTGCTTTGCAGACTGGAACAAGCCTTATCACTACCAAAAACCACAGCCCTACCCTTACAAATAATGCCCGGGCAAGTATCCTTTTCAGACATCTGTCCAAACTTGAGAGCAAGACAAGCTGTGTTGTCAGACGAGAAGCATTGTGAAAGCTCTATGAGTCACTCACTTAGGAAATAGTGGAAAGGAATGAAAAAGAGCTGTTCCTGACTGAGAAAACATCTATTCAACACAAATAAGAATGCGTTGACAGTAAAGTATAATATTGAAATTATATAGGTAAAAACATATATCATTTGTAATAAATTCTGCAAGTGTGCATTCAAAACAATGAATCACAGGTCTGGTCTCACTCATGTATGGTATGTGCACAGTAATGCTGCTACCAAACATGCCCCTAGGTTGTGTTGTTGGTCACTTAAAGTATGATAGTACATTTTCTTGCATAGACTAAATGGTTTAAGGCACTTCCTGTGTTCTGGGTAGGGACATCCCCTCACACTTGCTTTGCAGACTGGAACAAGCCTTATCACTACCAAAAACCACAGCCCTACCCTTACAAATAATGCCCGGGCAAGTATCCTTTTCAGACATCTGTCCAAAATTGAGAGCAAGACAAGCTGTGTTGTCAGACGAGAAGCATTGTGAAAGCTCTATGAGTCACTCACTTAGGAAATAGTGGAAAGGAATGAAAAAGAGCTGTTCCTGACTGAGAAAACATCTATTCAACACAAATAAGAATGCGTTGACAGTAAAGTATAATATTGAAATTATATAGGTAAAAACATATAAATTCCACAGTGTATTCTGCAAGTGTGCATTCAAAACAATGAATCACAGGTCTTTTTCACAAACGGTGGTTTATTTTAGCTGGTTTACTATTGTCCATCTGGTTTCATGCAGGGAACCAGAGCAACAAACCATCTTAAGCTGATTTTAGATGTGTTTCTGTTCTAGCAGGGTTAGGTGTGAAATTTCTCATTCATAAAGCTCTAACAGAAGCACTGTTATATTCATTTACATTTACATACACACACAGACTCACTTACACTCCTTCATGTTTGGATTGAAAATCCCAGTCAGCGTTTTCTGTGGCGTTAAACTCTAAACAGTTAACATTACAGTCCTTTCCACAGACTCGCCCAACCTCATGCTCATCATTCGGGCGGAGCCCCGGTATAAATGCGTGCTCTGCTTCTTGACCAGCTCTTGCACGGGACATTCAGTACATTCTTTCATCTTCAGTTGACGCTCTGCCTTTTATCAGCGTAAGTACACAAACGTTTACTATTCAGAAAAGCGTTGAGATTTAGAGTATAGAGCATAGTACAACTTTGTTTAACTTGAGCATTTAAAAAAAAGTTTTTACCTTAATATTGTAAGTTATGGCTACTTATTAGTAGGATAATACTTCGAAATACGAAAATAGTTTTTGATAAGCCTACGAATGTGACGTGTGCGTAGATGCACAGATTCTATGGACGTCAGCGTCATTTACATAATAGAATCTAAACTTTACAGGAAGATTAAAAGTCTGCTGTTAATTTTAAATAACTGCTCTTAATACTTAAATAATTGAAAGAATTGCATCAGCATATACTAAATTAAATGGCTTAATTTGTACTGCATCTACTTGGCATGACGGTTGGTGGGTATTACTCACAATTTGGCTTATTTCCAAATGGAAAAATCCACTTCTGTTTCAGTCTGCCTAACAGGAGGAGAACAATGGGCTGTTTGCACAATATTCTGTTTGATTAAGGGATGAGACACTCACATAATCTAATACGTTATCTCTCACTGTAGACAGTCATAATGCCGTCTGATCTGGAGAGAGCGATGGAGACGCTGATCACAGTGTTTCACCGTTATGCGAGCAAAGAGAGTGGAAATAAATCAACATTAAATCGCAGAGAGCTCAAACTGCTGATGGAGACAGAGTTGGCCAACTTTATGAAGGTACAACATTCCATCTGTTATTGCTACACCCAGGGCGGGGCAACTCTAAACATTGACTTGGGCCCTGTGATGAAGCAAGGGGCCCCTAAAAATGTTTTGGCCTCGCTCATAGTGTATCTTTCAGATCTTTCTAAAACTTGACTCTTTTTCCATCATCTATAGAAAAGTCTTCCGTTTGTTCTATTTCGAACATGTTTCTCTCATCTCTTCTACTGTAGTCTCAGAAGGACCCTGCTGCCGTAGACAAGATTATGAGGGATTTGGATGCTAATGGTGATGGAGAGGTGGATTTTGAAGAGTTTGTGTCTCTTGTGGTGGGCCTGTCCATTGCCTGTGAACAGATCTACAAGATGCACAAGCAGGGGGCAGGGGGTGTCAAAAAGCAATAAAAGATGACTGTTCTGTCATTTTGTTAATAGGTTTTAATAAACGATTTCAGCCACATGCCTCGATTTGAAGTTGTTACTATAGTTACACTCTATGTATGTAAAGGAGAATTTTTCTTTAGTTTTGTTAAGTGATGTTCAATTAAATTTATTTTTATTTTTATAAGTATTAGCATTAGACACGAAATAACTGTCACAAAATACAGCATATTAAAGTGGATTAATTTAGCTTGAGATGAGAATGCAATTTGTTAACCTTTTAACTTATTATATACTGGTAAAAAAAATGGTGTAGAAACAATTTTCATTCCAAAATTGCTAATAAATTTCATAATTAATTACAAAGAAATGGCAAGTAACACATTAAATCAAATGTGAAATTTTGAAGCAGAAAGACTTAAATCAGACTGAAGGAAACATAATTTTCAAAACTAAAAAATGTCTGGTAGATTAATTGGTACTACAGAGACTTCATAGATATTCAAAGAGCAGCCTCCGTCTTTATATCTCCACACTTAATAGTCCCATAAGAGAATAACTGTCATTCAGTCTCATTGTCTTACAGCCAATGATTGACATCAGACAGGTGTCTTATCAATCCTTACAACTAGGGAAGGTAAAGATGGAGCATCTATTCTGTCTTACTGGTGAAAATGTACAGTCAAATATTTCATATGATTATCCAATATGTAATATATAAAATATACAAACATATATTTAAATAATTATTTGTATTGCCCTGACATTGGTATTTTTAATTAGCCTAATACAAACATGAAAAATAAAGTTTGTTTCTGAATGCTTTCTATTTAGAAAAGAAAGGTAGGTTCAACTCTAATCCTGGCCTTCACTTTTTTTAACAGCCTACCTAAATCCAGTATTTACACAACAGACATTCAGTAAACAGTTTTAACTCCGAGCCAGACACAACAATATTTCATGCATCCCTGCAATCACATTCATTTGTGTGTTATCTGTGGAACATTATATTCATGACTTGCACCCTCACGGACCTCATGCACATGCTGGTGTTTATTGTAAATACACATGCATAATTCATTTTACATCTTAAAATACACTTTTAGGATCTAGAGTTTCAAATAATCTCATTACAGTTCACCCTTTGACACATTTGGTTGGTGATTTTCAAATGTGCGAGCTCTGCACCCCCCTCATGCAGGAACCACCGACAGAGTGTGGGCGTGTTTGAAATCCGTATAAACAGTCGAGTTGCCTGGCAACCATGATGACTCTGGGGTGTGTCAACCTCATGAGGTCATGGCAGCAAGTACTAACATGGTTTTTTCCCTCCTAGGCACATGATGTGTGTGAAGTGAACTTCAAATAGGCCTACATAAATACATAGTTCAGATCTTCATTAGACAACTACAATAAGTATATTGATACAATACTAATAATTAGTATGTGTACATATATAGCCTTCTCATAGCCTATTACATGATGCACAAACAAACTGAATGACACAAGGACAATTTTAGTTTATTGATTTATTGTCAAAGTGAAATTAAGTGTCTAAACTGGTGGCTGGCCAATAGAGGGCACCGGGGCGCCACCCTCCTTGAGCCACACACACATAACAATAATAATAATAATAATATTAATAATACATATACATATATAAGATATATATAAATATATAAATAGCACACTGTACATAGCTACATTGTGAATAATGAAAATTGAAGAGTTTTTTTTCTTTTAATTGAACTTTTAAGAGCTTACAGAAAATCAAACTTAAATTCCAAACACAAACTTATTCCATAACTTGGTAATATATTTATCTTATCAAATATGTTTCAAATTCTAGTCTTAATATTTATTAACTTCAGTTAACTTTTTATTCTTAAAATATTCTTAACCTTAAATCATACTTAAATCAACCTTAAATCATAATGTTTGCTGAAATTGTTGAATGTGGCACAGCCTATCCACCTTTTTCTTGTCGTAAAAAATGGGCGCGGCCATTTGTAAGTTCTATGGGTCTGGCTTCCGGTCTCATCTGCGTCCACTCCGTCCAGCTATTTTTAGCTGAACAAAACAGTTCATTTTGCTGCCTGATATTGAAAGTTGGTGTGTCTTATCATATTATTTTAATGTATTATCTTAATTATGAACACACTGGTTTGTAGTGCAAACAGTTTTACAGTTTACTGCACGTTGTTATTCTCCTCGTTATTTACCTATAGCGGCTAATGAACCGGAAGTCTCACCCATAGGCTTACTTCCGCGTTGAAGAAAAAGGTGGATATAATTTTTTTTTTTACCAGTGTCCATTGTTAATGTCTGTCATACGACCATATAATTATAGTTGAGGAAGGTGATCACTAGATGTCAGCAGTAAACCACATGACATGAGCACATCAACTCGCTCTCCGTCTTCTCCACTCCTCCTTTTCTATTTCTCGTCTTGTAGACAAACACTACATTCATTTTTCCTCTACAATAGCTACACAAATGTCTTAAATCTCTTCTGATTTAAGACAGAACTATTTAGATATGGGTCAGATGCACTATTCCCTAAACATATACTTAAGATTTGGAGACCAACTATAACACTAATGCATTTTTCATATTTGCCATAACATTACTACATTATATTCTATGGGTTTAATGCATTTGCAGACAATGTAATTACATGTAACTGTCATATAACTGTATATTCACTGTTTTAGAGACGAGTGCCATTGAATGTATAGCTAATATTAATTGGATTTTCATTTAAAAAAAAATCAGAACTGAAAACACTGAATTAAAAAACAAAAGAAAAACCCCAATAAATGGCCAAACAGCAATGCTATTAGAACATTTATTGTTATATCTTGCATCATTTACATCTATTTTTGCATTTGATGTTGATTTGAGGAGTTGTTACTTATTATTGCCATCATACCAACTGAGAATTTATTGCAATGATTTTAAATTCAGTTGAGGTATCTAGCTGACATATTATGACATAACATTGATGTTTTATATAAAGTCTTTAGGGCCATAGGCTATAATATGTTGTTTTTAGATAAATTGCTCAGAGACCAACCAGTTGGACAGAGGTTATATGTACAAATCATCCAAGCACCCAATTCCTGGCCATTTCTAAAGGCATTTCATTAACATTGCAAAATATTATTACACTGGAAAGAAATTAAAGATCCATCTTTGATTGTCAAAAAAATTACAGGTTCAGTTCACCCAATTATATTTCATGTAGTATTTTCATCGGTCAGTTGTGGAGGTCTGATTGGCTAAAGCTTTATTTAAATAGTACCTTTTAAAACAGTGTTTACAAAGTAGCCGATTTTACAGAGAGATGCATATGTGCATTTGCAGAAAAGATCAAAATACAAGGATAAAAGAGATATAGTAAAACAAAGTAGCTACAACAACCAGTTTATGTTCAAACAAAATTACAAAAACAAAAAAATCAAGGAAAGGCCCTACACAAATCTGTTTTGAGACTGCTTTTTAAAAGTGCATAATGATAACTTTTGACAACGTTTAATTCAGGTGCGAAAAGACTGAATATCTAGCGCATGAGCACAGAGAGATTTGAGAGTGCGCAGGACACAGTTTGAGGGAGAGGAGAGACATGTTTTAAGCGCGAGAGCAGCGTGTATCTGAGCGCGCGCGTCCGGTTTTGTGCGAGAGCAAAAGAAATCCGCGCGCGAGCGGAGAGATTCACGCTCGCGCATTATATTAATGTGCCTTCGCGCTACAATAATGCGCTCTCGACATTTGTCAGTAAAATAACGCCATAGGGTGCTTGATAAATGCTTGTTTACAGCACAACTACTGGGGACCAATTTGTACCCAAAAGTGAGCTAAACCTGACAATAATAAAAAAAAAATTTAAATGGTAAAAATGCAGAAAGTCTCCTGTAAGGGGTAGGTTTAGGTGAAGGGTTGGTGTAGGGTGATAGAATATACAGTTTGTACAGTATAAAAAACATTACGCCTATGGAATGTACCCATTTATATAGCTAAGTAAACGTGTGTGTGTGTTTGTCTAGGTGTGTTTATTTGTGCACTTCAGTAAAAATGTCGGAGGTGCATATATGCTTACCGTACTGTAGAAGTGGACCTGAACAAAAGAGGGCTACATAATGCACACTTAAAAGTACACACCCTTTTTTGTTAATACTCCACAGTCCACAGATTTGTCACAGAGGTTTGTGACATTGACATTTACTTTGTTGTTTGTGTTACCAACTTGATTGTGTTCTGAATATATATATATATATACACACACATCATTAAAGGAAGATCCGTGATATATGTTAGGTTAAGTGAATTCAAAAGGGTGTGGTCTGTTTATCCGGGTTTACTTTTTAAGGATCCAAAACTAGACAAATAATCAAGATATTATGACACTCATGGCTGATGAGTCAGTGTCTTAGCGTTTCTCTCATAAAGGAAAAGCTTAAAGGAAATACTGAATAATCCTGTTGCTGCACGACCGAGCAGTCATCCGTTTTCATGAAGTTGAGCTGTCATTGTTTAGTATGTGGTTTTGTGCACCTTTGTATGCATCATTTTATATGTCTGCAGACGGCTTAATTTTTGTTTGCATTTCTGTGTACAGCTAGATAGAGTATTCATGCAGTCTCTTTACAAAACGAGGCCATTTTGCAAATATCAGGCATTCTTTGATGTCTGAATACTAGATTTAGAGAGGACAAGCATGTCTGTGTTTATTCCAAATATGAAGCTTATTCGCTTGAAGCTTGTGATTCAAACTTCCACGAACACATCAGCAGCAACGTCATAGCTACACAATGAGTCTTTTATCTTTATCATAAATGCTGAATCTTTTTTAAAAACAATATTTAAAGATTTGACATTCACATCAGAGAGAAAAAAAAACATGGCGTTTAGGGCAGACAACGCCCAAAGAGAGAGCGAAAGAGTCACTAAAATATGACTCAGATTCCCCGTGCAGTCTGACTGGGGAAATCCCCTATATTTTGTTTATTTATTTACTATAAACTAGCTAGAGTCAAACACAGCAGAATATGGTCTTGAAAGCTGAAAAGTTTAAAGCTTATTGTTTATGGCATGTGAGTCTCGTCAAACTTGATTGGGTGCTACAGATCCTACATAGCACAAGAATGAATCATTCCTGCCGTTGTGTGTGCTGTGGAGTATAAGTGCTTTCAAAGCAGCAGACGATTTACTCCAACAAAACATCTTCACAACTTCTCTGGGAACACAACAACCTCAAGGTATGTAAAATAAAATAGAGAGAGAGAGAGAAAATGAAAGCGCAAAAAGCAGGAAATAGAGCTACAAAAATAGGACAGAGAAGAAGTTTATAGAAATGCAGTCCATCATTTTGTGGGTATTTTTGCAACAGATATAATTGTGTTGTATTGGCTAAAGACTTGCTTTTCTGGATGAAAATGAATGTATGGAGGGGAGCTAAATGTATGGAGAGGTGATGACTGGCATTAGTGCACTTCACGAGATGATCTAAATGAATTCTCTCTCTTGTTTTCTTTCTCATAGACATGTCTAAGCTGGAGAAAGCCATTGTGGCCATAGTGGAGGTGTTTGAGGAGTATGCAGGGACAGATGAGCAGAAAACCCAGCTCAGTAATGCTGAACTTGGACAGCTCATTAAAGCCCAAATTACCAGTCCTGAATTTAAGGTGAGAATTAGACAGATGCACAGAAGGAAAAAAGATGCAGTTGTGAGAAAGAAAGCTATTGGTTGGAGGAAGTGAACACCTCCAACATGTTGCAACAAATCTAATTCCTATCTATTTCCTAATTATATAGTATGCTGTGCATTTGTTGTGCAATGAATGTTATTATGGCAACCTGGCATGAGAGAGGTTTACCCTATATGAGCCATAACATGCATGCATGAGGCTCTTCATTTTATACACCTTTCATTTGCTAATATACTTTTTAGTATCTTGTACACACTAGTTGCTCCTTGCATGTTTTTTTTTCAGTACAGCTATGAGTGGTATGTAAGTAATTACAGCATTGACATTCCTCCCTCTATGTCTGTCTCAGGATAAAGTGGATCCAGATAATATTAAGGAGGTCATGGAAGAGCTGGATAAGAACCATGATGGTGAAGTGAACTTCCGTGAATTCAGTCAGTGTATTGCTGGCTTAGCCAGGGCCTACTACATAAAGAAGCACGGCAAGGAAAAGTGCAGAGGAAAGGGCAGGGGGTGTCAGGACAAGTGAACACACACATCCTTACACTCCTGATGCACTAGACTCTTGCCTCCTACAAGGTTCCAAAGTACCTCTCTATAATGTTGCAAACAAGACAGGCACAGTAAAAATGGTTTGAACAAATATAGTGCCATTTAGTTAATGTAGTAGGAAAGATTTCTCAGCAGTGTTGTGAAAAATGTTTGTCCTGCCTAATGAACAATAAAATGTACTTAGACATGCATTTTGCAGTAGTGAAATCTTTAGCTTTCTGGACAAAAATAAAAAACCTCTTGTCATCACTAATGTACTTCTCACTTTATTTTTTCACTTAATTTATATGTCATCTTTTACCAATGATGGCATTTATGATGTCATATTATTTCACATAATTATGTTTTACTATGTTAAATATGTATATATATATATGTATATGTACATCATTAATTGCATGCAACATTTTCAAAAAAACCTGTATAGCACATACATTTATTTAAATGATTGCTTGCTGGGCCTTAATATATGGATTTTTGGAGGTCAAGGAACCACTCCATGATATCATTTTATATCACATAATTATGTGAAAAATTATATAAATATATATATAATTTTTGAATTTTTTTTGGTAATTCATAGACAGTTCAATTCTTGTCCTTCTAAACTGACTTTTTGCACAATTGTTGAATGAAGCTCTAGTGCAGTTGACCTACTTGCTCAATGCAAATGTGCATGCAAATATGTTCTTATAAGAGAATTGCTTTGTAACATTATTTGGCACTAATGACTCTGTCACGCTTCTGTTTTACAAATGCTGTCACTTCTGTGAATGTGCAGTAACCTTAGAAAAAGCTTACAATTTGCTATCAGGTATATGTAGTACCCTTTGAAAAAGTCACTTAAACATTTGTCTGAAAAGTTTGACTTTAAATCATTCAATGCACATTAAAGTCACATTACATTTTAATAAAATGTATTCCAAACCCCAAATGTAAGCATACAGGCAATTAACTTTGCCCTACCATTTGAGTTTTTCACAAAGGCCTAGATCAAACAGAAGTGTGCTGACAGGAGTGCAGGCAGTTCTGTTTGAAATATATCGTTTTATATTGACTTATTCAAACTGAAAGTTCTGCTGCAATGCAAAGGCAAATAACTCAAGCTTAATAGCAAAGATTGATGTCAATAATCAGTCAGTTATATGTCACATTTACAGACTCAAGATTTAAAAAAATCTATATTCAAATTCCCAGTTTACCAGTCAAAGAGAGTAATATATCAGACTTTTGCATAATAGCAGTTTTAGGTAAAGTATAGTATACTTAAGAAGTAGATTTGAACCTGTTTCACCCACACAGTCCTAATCCTTTTCTCACATTGCTGTAATGAAAGTGTACATGAATACGCCAAGACATGAAGCAACATGTCATGCAAATGCTTGTTTTAATGATAAAAAAACGAACCGCAAATTATTTAATGAGCATAATAATTTGAGTGAATAATTAAACTAAAAATGAATATGAATTTTGCATGTCTTATTTCATTTGTCCTGCTTTTACTTAAATGGCAGATGCACTCGCATGGACTCCACAAGTTTGTGTAAAATCTGATGATTCAAAGAACGTGAAGACCATGCGATCGTCTGTAAAAACTAATTCACATGATCAATGTCACTCATTTTTTAAATTAGTGACATTGAAATACTGCAGCACATTCACTTTCATTTCGTTTAACTTCCAGTTTTATATTACATTTTTGAATCCCAGATTTGGGCCTCACTGCAGGGACACCTGTTTCTCTGCTGTATACACTGTTTTTCCCAGAGTGCAGTCCCTGTCCTCTGCACCTGTACAGCAGTCTAATGTAAGAGTGAACACACCCACATGTGTTCCTAAACACACACAAACAGCATCTCGATCAGGCATGTTTACATGGAACAGATGGCATTAGCTTGGAAGAAATTCTCTGGTATACTTGCACCCAACATGATGTAACCTGGGAAAAAAAAGTCATAATGTGAGGAAAACTGTACCTTAGTGCCATAACAGTGCAATTGTTTTACTCTTACATATTTAAAAGTATATTCCTAGCATGAGTGCATTTACTGTGTTGTGTGTGACAAGAATGAGTAGGTGTGTCTAAACTTTCGACTTGTAGTCTCAAGTATGTTATATATTGTACATCAGTTCTTAATGTGAAGTCATTAATATTTTTACTGTAACTCAATGTCAGAACTCACTGTGTCTGCAAGAGACTATCTGAATGTTTAAAATGAGAAATAGATGATTCCATGAGCTGTGCATGCATGACTGCATTCAAATATGGGCTGGTTGTGACTCATCTGTTGTCTATTCAGATGCATGATAACTTGCAGGGAATAATTTCCCTTGGGCGCATTTCCATAAATCAGTCATTTAAATCAGGAAGTGCACAGCATTCAGAGCTCAGATGCAGTCACTGAAGTCCTGATCTACGGGCTTCTGTCCCACCCTGTCATTCTTCTCTTGTTTTTTACTATGTGGCATGATTTGGGTGTGGTGAAGTGGTGACAGCGTCAACTGTTCAACTTCAAGAATGAAAGCAGACAAAGACAGACAAATAGAAGCATAAAATAATATACATTCAGAGGTGATAAGTATAGTTTTCAATACACATTTACATTCGTTTAGCAAAGCGACATACAACTGCTGCAACAAGAGCGATTTACCCTAAAAAGACTGTAATATGAGGAGTGTTGTAATATAAGGTTTCAGAGTTGCATTGAGAAAAGTATGAGGTAATATCGGTCAAACCCTGACTGCAGGCTTCTCACATGAACATGGATTTGAGTGAAGGTAAATGGTGCACATCCAGTGACAGTTCAAGCAGGGCCACATTAACACTAACAGAGACCCCAGGGCTTTAATCTCGGAGGAGCCTGACACACCTTCATTTCGCAGACAATGCAACGGCCTACTGATTGCATGATCGTTTTGCACAAGTAACCTGTATTTCTGTTGATGCAGGGACAAACACAATAGACAGCAACTTCCGAATGAAGGTCCTACGACAGTAAAATATGCACAGATATTACTACATGAACTGAGTGATGCAGTAAACGTTGGATATTAACCTGCGTTTTAAACTGCATTGTTAAAATATCTGCATAAATATTTCATGGAGATTCATTTGAATTGTGCCCTGTACTAACTTCCACAATAAACAATAAACATGGTATAGCAAGATGAGAAAAAAAACTATACATTCTATGGAAATTTTAAAATGTGGTTTAAAATTAGGTTAATGCACTGCAGCCAGTAGCCACTGTGGAGGTGAAGTGGCACGATAAGTGGTAGGCCTACAGAGTAAACCTCACAACCCTATCACACACACACAAACAGACAGTTCACACTCACACACACATCACTCACATTATTTTTTAGCTGCTGTCTTAATAGTGTGTTTGGAGTCAGAAGTGCTTTGATAGCGCTTTAGATAAGAGTGATGAAATGTGATCATTTCATTTGTTTGGGGTCAAATCGGATAGTGGGTGGCAGGACACAAATCCAGTTAAATAGCTTGTTATTTAATATTCTTAAAGGTGTCATATGATGCTTTTTTAAAGATCATTATTTTGTGCATTTGGTGTAACAAAATATGTTGACATGCTTTAATGTTCAAAAAACACTTTATTTTTCAAATACTGTACATTATTGTAGGTCCTCTATGCCCCGCCTCTCTCAAACGCTTTGTTTTCTACAAAGTCCATCCTTCCGACAAGCGCAGTCTGCTCTGATTGGCCAGCTGACCCGGTGCATTGTGATTGGCCGAACACCGCAAGCACTCGTCGGAAATGGAAAACTTGAAATCGCATCATATGACCCCTTTAATCGCCATAGTGCCGAATGGCTGTCATTGTGAAACTGTGCCGTTAGGTTCAGTTGACAAGGTTACGGTTTCTTTCGCGTGATTCTGAAGGTAAACATTGGAGTGAGCGAGAGGATGATCACACCATAAAGGCAAAAGTTTATACATACAACAACCTGGAATGGTTTTATAATCGTACCGTTTCTCACCATGCTCAAAACCGTTCGGCCTGAAGGAGGAAAAGCGCTTATTTGTGAGGAAATTCTGGTTTGTTGACTAACTAAAAAGGGTTCAACCCCAAAGTCTCTATGATATTATCTTTTAATTAGTAAATATAAATATTAAACATGTTCCATTTAAATCTGATATATAATCAGATTTACTAGCCTATATACTAGCTATATATATATTTACAGTGGGGAAAAAAAAGTATTTAGTCAGCCACCAATTGTGCAAGTTCTCCCACTTAAAAAGATGAGAGAGGCCTGTAATTTTCATCATAGGTATACCTCAACTATGAGAGACAAAATGAGAAAAAAAAATCCAGAAAATCACATTGTAGGATTTTTAAAGAATTTATTTGCAAATTATGGTGGAAAATAAGTATTTGGTCAATAACAAAATTTCATCTCAATACTTTGTTATATACCCTTTGTTGGCAATGACAGAGGTCAAACGTTTTCTGTAAGTCTTCACAAGGTTTTCACACACTGTTGCTGGTATTTTGGCCCATTCCTCCATGCAGATCTCCTCTAGAGCAGTAAGGTTTTGGGGCTGTCGCTGGGCAACACGGATTTTCAACTCCCTCCAAAGATTTTCTATGGGGTTGAGATCTGGAGACTGGCTAGGCCACTCCAGCACACACACTATATAAATCAGTCTCACACCACCATTCAACGCAGAGTATTGTATAGCATTTATCTCTCTCATAGCGATAGCTACCCTACGGAGCTATTTCTAGTTCTTAGTTCCTAGTCATAGTCTTGCCCTGCCTGCTTTCCCGTGTTCAGATTATTGCCTGTGTATTTTGTATTATCCTTTCGTCTTGCCATTCAGACTATGTTTGCACCTTGCCTGGACTATTGCTCATGTTGTCAGATTACCCCTCTTGTCAAGCCCTCTGGATATTGTTAGCCGCTGATCGACCACGTCCGTTTTGGATTACTCTTCTGTCTTGCCCTCAATATACCTGTTTGCCATTGTCTGACCCATGCCTGTTTTATGACCACGTCTCCGTCTAAAAAAAGCCTTGCATTTGGATCCGCATGCCTCTCTTCTCGTTCGCCTCATAACAGAATACTCGGCCACACAAGGATCCAGCAGCTTTTCAGAGGAACATTGGCCAGGTATGGACACAGCACGTATATTATTAACTCTTAAACAAGGCCCGCGTTCGCTGGAGAACTATATTCAAGAGTATCTAGCCATTGCCTATTACTCTGATTTACCGGACTGTTTG